TATTTTTTAAACATGTTTTAATTGATATACGATTATGTATGTTAATTTGATAAATGTTTAAAATGAAACATTTAAAAGTAAATGACGTAAAGTAAATTAATTAATTAATTATAAGAGTATAAAGTGTAAATTTAAAATTATAATTTTAAAAAAATCGGTTGTGAGAGGGTAAATGTATGTGAGGGGTGAGTGTATGTGATGAAAGAAGGGGGTGAAAAAGTGAAAAAAATGACCTATGAGTAGTATAAAATGTATTTTGGTCATTTAATATTTTAAAACTTTAAGACTTTTGTTAAGATAGTATATATATATATATATATATATATAACAATAGCATTTCATTCCACCAAAATACCACCTTATTGTGAAGTTTAAATCCTTTATTTGTGGAATTCATTGGATTTTAAAGATTCTTTCTCTAAAAATGAAGAAACCAAACAAGAGAACGAAATTTGATCAAAGAAAATCAACATTCCAGTTCCATCAAAATATGCGGACCAAACACTATCCAAGACCTTGTACAATTTTTACACCTACTTACTTCAATCGTACATTTACTCCCGTCTCATCCCATACTGTGTACCATTATACATACCAAACACACCTTTTAGATATGGTTAGTAAGGTGTATTTGTTACAAGAAACATGAAATATAGAGATGAAATTTATATATTATAAAAATTACTATACTACCTTAACGTTTTCAAGTTAAGATTATCATTGATTTTTTTGGAACATTGTAAAATATCAATCGATCTATGTGATAAAACGTCTTTTTAATACAAACCCACATTTTTCCAAATCAATATTCCATATTGCTTTTCAATTAGAATAAATCTGACTTGATTTTCATAAACAATTTCTATATGAAACATGAGAATCCAATTGATTTGCTTTACTTTACTATCGGTTTATCTTTTCGAAATATTCTGGTACCCAATCATTTTTTTTTATCAAAACAGGAATAATTTTTTTTGAATATTCTTACCATATTTTTTTATTAAAACATAAATTTTGCATCTTATTTTTCAATTACAAGTTGTAAAAGCTATAAACCACCAATTAATGCTTAAGTTGATCTCTAAAAAACAAGAACAACAAATACTTTGAGTTATAAACATTATTTCAAAATCTTTAACCAATGAAACATTTTAACTTGGAATTTATAAATACCTGATTTATGATTTAAAATCACAACAAACTATAAAATTAGCATCGAAAGAGACCGAGAATAAAACAAAATTTGAAACAATATTGTTGTTAAATTTCATCTACATCGAACCCAGTTAGAAACTATTAATGAAACGGTTCTAACAACCAAACAAAACCACATAATTATTCTCCTAAATCCCCCACAAATATAGGATCAGAACCATAAGGGCTGTAACATAGTGGTTAAGGTGGAATATTTCATTTATCCAAGGTTCGATTTCAGGAGTACACAACTGTCGTACTCACTGAGTTTTTCACGACTGATTTTTTGCAGTCACAATTTACCAGATCAATCCAAAACATAGCCTGAGACAACATGACGGGAATGATGTATGCAAACCTCTTTTACCAAAAGAGTAAAGATACCAACTTACCAAAGGGGGTCTAGATATTGTTCAACTCACAAAACAAGAAAGCAAGCTACAAGTGGGAATGTGTGCAACAAGTAAAATAACATGAAACAAATTAGAAAAAAGGTATTGAGCTAAACTTAGATGGTTCTAAAATATTCCATTTTATCAAAATCTGGAAGCCATTATAGAGTTGTGAAGAAATCTACACAACTCTAAAGAAGAGTATAGTATTGCATACGTAACCTCAATGGAGTTTTGTGATTGACTAGTGTTTTAGGTTGGTGACAGTTAAATACAAAAATAGAACTTAGCTTCCATTTGGTGGCGAACCATTCGTGTAGACTAGGTCTGCTAGATACAGATCGCTCTCAAAAAAGGCCGAATGGAGAGCCCTCACACATTTTTCTGATTCGTTGTCGTTAACTATCAACGATATATTCACCTGCACCAGTCAAGAGGCATAATACTCAATTCCATGCCTGCCAAGACTGTAAACAATTGCATTGACGGGGGGAGTTGAGGCATGAAAATGGAAATCATTAATGATGTCGGGTTTGAGGTAATGGAATGAACCATTACCATATACTGGTTCATGAAACATTCCTAAACAAACCGGCATGAATGAAACTCATTCTCATTTCCATTCCCCTGTTGCATTCCCATTACTGAACCAAACGAAACAAACCCAGTATATCCCCACTCGGGTGTGGGGTGCAGAGGGGTGAGATGTAAGCAGACCGGACCCTACCCCAGAGAGTAGAGCGGCTGTTTCCTTGAAGACCCCTGGTTTGCAAAAAGCACCCCTGAACCTCATCAGATGGGTGGAATACCTTAGATGCTCCTTGAGATATCATCTGAACATTGACTCCATTTGTACGAAGAACATGAAATACCTAGAGTACGAATCAAAAAGACCAAACACAAGAAAAATCAGACAAAAAGAAAATGCAAGTTCTGCCATGAAGGTGGCAAATAACAGTTGTAAATCATGTTTGAGCCTGCAACAATACCTTCTCCAATATAAGTGAGGACCTCTGAACATTTCCAATCAGCGAAATAATTGATCGGTTCTGTAGGAGGTTCACTTTAGCAATTTTTTCAAGTTCTTCCACGACATTATCAAGTTCCTGCTTGGCAAAATACAAGCACCATTAAATGCTGCTACTTGGGGCACTTGTACACTTGTGTTTTACATCCATGGTTTGCTAACATTTGACGATATCATTTTTTTCTATATCAAGAAAGCCACAATTTTAAGAATCACAAATTTAGTGATCACTAGTTTTTTCTGCTTCATTTTATTACTTCTATAAGAAATCCAACAACAAAGACCTCAAAAACTCTAGGAAATTGCTCCTCAAGTCTGAAAAGTTCTTTCTGGTGATTGTGGGTGTTTGGGCCAGTTTGTGTGCACCTCGACTAAACCCATGGGGACCTGAAGAAAATAGCCAGAAAAACCCCAGTGGCTCTGAGGAGACTTGAACCGATAAGCTATAGCCTATAGGGACGAGCCCCGAAACCTAGCCTCTATTTGCCAATTGAGCTGGCCCTCAAGGTTTTAACTTTGGAAAGTTGTGCCAGCACTCTATTGAATATTGGCACTACTTAAGCGATAAGTTCAAACTACCAACTACTAATCGATATAAGCTAAAAGAAGTAAGCAGGTCAACTGTGACATCCCATTTGGAGCTTTCTCTGTCAAATCTAGTGCATACATAATCAAATTGAGAATGATATCATATGCTTGCCTGCTGAATCAACTCCCTGCTCCAAAGCTTTGAAGGATCCAACGTTAAGGAAATGCTAACTTCACTAGTAGCTACAACGTCAACCGAAATACCCAAATCCTCAAAAGTGGAGAATACCTGAACCATGTGCCAATTACAAATTAAAATCTACATCAGCCCACTCAGAAAATGATGATAACTGTATTGACCTTTTACCTTGGCTAGGAATCCAAACTGACCAAGCATGCGAGTGCTAACAATGTCTAACATGGTTACATTGCGTTTCAAAACAATGCTAGTCAGTATTGCCTGAAATTGAGATTGGTAGACGTTTAGGCTTTCAGAATCCTGATGATAATTTCTAGATCGTGATGAGTATTTCGCTACTGACCTTTGACATATCTCTTGATTTAGTAATTAGGGTACCTGGAGCATTAGGGTTGTAAGAATTTTTAACCCTAACAGGGATATCACCTTCTCTTGCAGGCCTCATAGACTGTGGATGCAGGACCTACGGACAGAGAAAATGAAAGAATAAAAACTAAAATCAAGAGTGAAAAGTGTCCAGATTTTCTGAAACTGATCATCTTGTTATATTGAAAGAAATATTGCAAATGAAGATAACAACAGCCACATCATCTATAAAAAGACTGTTAAAACTTAGGGATTAGAAGCTAAGGGACATCAAAAGTCCATTAAAATGAGGACAGTAAAAAGTTCCCTTCGAGAAAAAGAACATGAAGAATTAGGAAGCAATCAGGAAACTGGAAGCATGAGAGCATCACAACCAAATGGGAAAATGTTTTTTATGGCATAACAAATGTATACAAAAACAATGAGTAAATACCTGAGCACCAAAATATGCAAGTTCAGCAGCCTCATCGAAAGTTAAGTATGGCACAGGCTCTGCACCTGAGTATATGTTAGGGTCACATGTCAAAACACCATCCACATCTTTCCACACCTACACAAATGGAAAAAAGAAAAGAATAAATTAGAACTTCTGCTGAAACCACACTAAACTTCAAAAGACGCACTATAGAAGCTTGAGATAGTCTTTTTACACAACTTCTAGGAGACGAATACAAACTAAAGTGACATAATGAATGAGAATGTGATTTTTTAAGATCTTCACCAAACCTGAATTTCTCGCAAACCCAATCCTTTGCCGATGGTTGTGGCAGTCAAATCACTACCACCTCTTCCCAACGTAGTCACTGCAGAAGTTCTCCAACCCTACAATTTATATATGGATTTAAATTAGTCATTTCCAGAAAGTTCAAGCTCGTTATTCATGTGCTAGAACCATACAAAGAAATTTTAGAGAGGATGCAAAAAGCAAAAGACCTTCCCAAGGAAGCCAGTAACAATAGGAATTGCAGGATCACTAATCCAATCACCATGTAGTCTCTTTGCTACAGCTGGATAAGTTGCTTCCAGAATATCCGCATTGGTAAAGTCATCCGTTGTTATAAAACCAATATCAAATGCATCATACTGCAAGAAGAAATAAAAACAAAAGCAAGGTGTCAGCAGAGAATAATACATGAAATAATGGTCATATCTGTGTCATAATTTGTTACACCTCTAAGTCTTTCAATAATAAGATATTAAAAGTTGAAACCTCAGTTCATTCGGAGTCATGAAATCTAAACAACATTACCAAATGAATCCAAGATAATTTTGAGTTGCACCTATTACCTTTTCCTATGATGTTAATACCTAGAAGGAAATACTTCCTTTGAGTGACATTGATAATAATGTTAACCCAATCCCTCCCCAGCCCAGGTCAAAGGTCTCCCCGCTCTTTTTAGGGGGAGGAACCCTTAGGTTCTCGGGGCATTGGATTCTCACCAATGTTTGTGCTAAGCGGGCTCATAGTCTAAGTCTCTTGGTCCGAGGAAGGAGGTGACTGCAATGAGCAGAAATCTCACTCACCGGCCTAAACGAAATCTTTGTTCCATTTGTCTATGAACCGAACAGCACGTATAACCTTTTCCAATGGTGTTAATACCAAGAATTCCGACTTAGAGTTAATCTGTCATGATGTTTGCATTTCATATCATTATCCCACCATATATGGACATAAACATTTCATACTATCGTGGATGATTATTCAAAAGTTACTTGGGTCTCTCTTATGCCAGACAAGCTTCATGTCTTCTCAAACATCAAGAATTTATGTTCATTTGTGCAAAAGCAAAAAGGAGGAATAAAGATCCCCTTGTGGCACGGAGGTTCAAATGCGGTGACTCCAGGCTATCTGTAAAGCAGGTGGTCGTCCTGGGATTAGTCAGCTCGCATAGCGGGTTGGATATCCAGGTTAATAAAAAAAAGCAAAAAGTGTCAGAAGTGATAATGGCATTAAATTCATCAATACTCGATGCCAAAATTTCTTTCACTCCAAGAGAACTGTACATCAAACATCCTCCCCTTAGACACCACAACAAAATGGTGTTATGAGAAGCATCAAAACTTTCTCGAGGTTGGTAGAGCTGCTCATTTTCAAACAAAATTTCCAATTGGGCATGATTTCTCATCTGCAACCTACATAATTAAACAAACTACAAGCCTTGTTATTCACTTCAAACCCCTCACAAGCTGTGAGTGTTTTGTTGGTTCCAGCTCGCCACACATTTGATCATAGAGCTATAATCTGTCCACTCTTTTTTGATATCCCATTCTCAAAATGGTTGCGTTATTTGTGTAACACCCGAGATTTATTATTATTATTATTGTTACTTCCTCTGAAAACTTTGATCTGTTTTGTGCAATTTAGTCTCCTCTCATTTAAAATGAATTACCTCCTCCTTATATGTATATATATATATATATGTTTATTTTTTTTTATGTGTACCTTGCAATCACYTTTTTCAATAGGCTGTCATTATAGTTTTAGGGAAGGGGGGGGGTGCCTACTAGTGTCCTAAGTTGTACTACCACTTTCCTTTTCTTTCTAGATCTTCTTTACCCCTCGCGAACCATCCCTTTCCCTGAGAGTCCTTACCCTCTATTTTGTTGACTTGGAGAGATTAAGTTTTGGAGGGGAAGATGATGATAATGGTGGAGCTTGGTAAACCGACCTTGGGTTGAGAAAAAGAGATTTGAACCTATTTGTGGAAGCCCTGTAACCTGCTGTCTTCACCCCTCTAAGAGCCATACCACAGATCAACCCCAAGCCGTGGCTGCCTACAATGTGAAAGGAAGAACCGGTCCGCGAGGCAGCAGATGGTCGTGTCTTCTGTGTGAAGAAGGGAGCAGCAAGAAGGGTCTACCAGCAGCAGCTCGAGGCCGTGCCACTCCGCCCTCAACAGCAGCAGSCAAAACAGCCTCGGCTGTGTGTTCGTCCAGCAAGCAAACAGCCCCTTGTGCGGTATTTCTGCAGCAAACAGCAACCGTGCTGTCTGTTTCTTTCCTCCGACAGCAAACARCAAGCRGCAGACCTGCTGCCCGCGTTTCCCTCGAACAGCACCAAAACAGCGGCAGCAGCAACATCGAGACAGCAGCAGCATCGGGCCAACAGCAAACAGCAGCAGCAAACAGCAGCTCAAAGTGTGTTGCTCTGCTGTGTTTTCACCTTCATCGGCAGCAGCAAACGGCAGCAGAAAACAGCAGCTCAAAGTGTGTTGCTCTGCTGTGTTTTCACCTTCATCGGCAGCAGCAAACGGCAGCAGAAAACAGCAGCTCAAACCGTGCTGCTCTGCTGTGTTTTCACCATCGTCGGCAGCAAGAGGCAGCARCAAACAGCCTTGCTGCTTGGTTCTTTGTTCGAYAGCATCAACACCAAYAGCAGCCCTGCTGTTTTGTTCTTCGTTTCGTCAGCATCAACATCTTTAGCAACAGAAAACAGTAGCCTTGCTGCCTGTTTGCCTCGTTCCGACTGTCCCGATCAGCAGCAAGTGAGTCCATTATACCTTTCAAATAGAACCTTAYACATGTGAAATGATACAATGTTACCTCCTATGTTATTGGTGAAATCGCTTGCTCGGTAGGAATTAGAGATTTCCTTTAGATAAATGAATTAGTTTAGAAGTTCCGTTTATATTGATAAGAGAAGTGTGGGAAGATGGTCTTAGTTACTTGTTAAGAATACTTATTTAGAATAGTTAAGACCMTAAGACTCGTAATTACAAAATAGGGATATTCCGTTCAGTTAAGGGCACGTGCAAGATCTTAATGTGGAATATGTATCATTATGTTTAAGGTACTGAATTTAAGTATATGTTTGTTATGTACTGAGTTTTTAAACTTGAAGGTGTTTCTTGTATATGTGTGAAGGATGGTATAAGTTGGATTTGGGCATTGTGATTATTATGTGATTTCCAAACCACCTTCTCACTTTCACTCGGAATTAGGCATTGTGATTATTATGTAATTTCCGAGATAAAGAGCTTATGATCACGTTCGACTATATACTGGTTTAGGTTGATGTCGATGGTTCTAAACCTGCAAGTGGCGCTCTATAACGTTGATCTATGACTTACTTTGTGTTCCGTCATGATTAGCGGTAAATCGGGTCTCCCCCGTCATATTCAGATGTTTTAGTCTCGCCTCGAGTTTTTTTTTAAGCATTGTGTTCATTTTGTATCGTTCGGGGTTACGTTCCATCTATATATTCAAACATATTCTTGTTTGTTATTTACTTTGATTTTTATGGTTGGACTCACTAGGCGTAAGCCTAACACTTCTTCTTGACGTGGCTTGTTTATCAGGTTCCTTTTAGCGGCGGGGTTCTTAAGGGTTGAGAGGAGCGCTGATTTGWGAAAGGCTCTTTTGTAGATATAGCCTTGTATCTTTTAGCGTCGCATCTTGTTGTCTCGGTATTTTTGGAGTKTGATAGAAACACCCGTCTTTAATCTAGACATAGAATTAATCTAGATTAGTAGGTTGTTATTTATCTTCTCAGTAATTGTTTTGTAAACGCTATACCTTTACCCTATTGTTGGGTGAATTCTATATCAAGTCCTAGTATCCGTTAATTATTTTTATATATATTGAAGTTTTTATTTAGGGTGTAACAATTTGGTTTACAAAAAAGCACTTTAAAAGTTGACATGTAATTTTTCATAAAATGTTTTCCCTTTCATGGACCATAAGAAAGCCACTCAAACAACCCGTTAAATTCTTACAAGCCTTGATCAAGTGACCATCCACATTATCTGATCATATGTCCTCACAAAACATTGATTTGCATTGGAACAAGAGAAAAACAAATTTACGGATTTGAATGTCTAATTTTAGAGCATTCCATATATATGTATATACTCATTTATATATATATATGTATGTATGTATGTATGTAAATATATGTATATTCTCATCTATATCATCAATTAGAATGTGGTATGTGCATCAGCTGGATGTAAATCATGCCTTCCTACAAGGCTCTTTAGATGAGAATGTATATATGCTTCCCCTCATCAGAGAATTTCTTCTAACTCTTCCACTCATTTCCCTTTCCTGTGATTTTCATCACTCAACAGTTTCACTTTGGTTTGTTATTCTTTGTTAAAATAATATAGATGCCAACTCTGCAATCAATTTAATGACACGTAAAATCCATAAAATCCTCAACATGAAAAGGCAACAAAGAAGTTCGCACTAGATCTAACCTCATGACAGTATTTATGGATAACTTTTGTTAGGCGTGGTTTACTTATTGGAAGATAATAACAAAGAGAAACAAAAGTTGTTGCTAGCTTTCTGTAGGCCTATAGCTTACATTTGAGGAATCAAATTTGAAAGCAAGAAATAATGGTGGCTGATAACATGCCATCACTAAGTAGCAAAATTTTCAGTCATAGATTTTATTCAAGTAATAAAAAAACCACATACTTGGCGGGCTTTGACACCAATTTTGTTCAAGTATGCTGCAAATATTCTTGTGGACATGCACTCTCCAAATGAAACAATGTAGTCCCTTGCACGTGGAGTCAACTCTTTCAGTACGGCAATCCCATTCAGAAGTCGCTCTAATTTATCTAGGTGGTCTGCAAAAAACTCTAAAAACATTAAACCACATTGCCATATGAAGCAGAAGAAACAAACATCAGCCCAAATGGGCAAGCATAAGGCAGGGCCTTAAAATTTGGAATCAGGAGAAGTATTAGTGACCTCGGTAATAAATAATTGCAACAAGAAAGAATTGAGCAGAAATCTTTTTGATGATTAATTTCATGATTTGGAACTCAAAGAAAGTGTAAAACAAGTCAAGAACAACCGAGTGCGATGCAATATGAAACGTGGTCACTACAACCACCAATTTGTGTCTGAGATATCTGAACAGCTCCAAGAAAAGATACCTCCCATCCCCTAATCTAATAAAAGACTCTTTCGAGGAACATAATATTTCAAGGAAACCAATGTCAGTAGGGCCTTGTGCTATTCATGTACAACAATAAACTGAAAGCTCTACATATATATTACACCATAAGATTTGGATAATCTATCATCGGGATAGAAAGTGACATTCTTCCGATAATTGGAGACCTACCTTTAATGAGTGATCTGTCTAATCCAAGCTCATCCACTGTCCTGAGTATATACACCAATGCCTGATCAGCACAAAATAATGTCTATAATCTTTAGAAGACGTAAAAGTCGATGATCCAAATTTTCACCTGTAGTGCAATTCTTTCACAAAGCTCAGCTCATCAATTTCAGACACATTAGAAACACAGTTTGTAGCCTTTTCTCCAGCCTATATGACACAACACAGATTTAACTTTAACACTTCTTGAAGGAACATCTAGAATATAAATTTAAAAATTGGTGGTTGCACAAACCACTATAAGCTTGTTGGTAGTCTTGCCCATAGCAGAGAGGACAATCACAGGATTCTCTTTTGGAAAGCTGAGAATGAGCTCAGCAACTTCTTTCATCCTATCTGCTGAGGCTACTGATGATCCACCAAACTTCATCACGCATGATAGTTGGTTGCTTGATCCTTCTGAACCTGGACTTCTGGGTTCAGTTTGAACCAGAACATCATTGTTTCTCCCATCACAAACCACCCTTAGACCTCTTCCCCTGCTTGGAGCTGGAACCCTCAAAGCTCCACACAATTCGGTGAGTGGATCAAAATTAAGTCGCTGCTGTGAGCACAATGATTGGGAGTGCACAGCTCTCTTTGAAAAACAATAAAGAGTCTTGATTCCACACAAGTGTGTAGTTGTTGCCATTGAAACAGCTTGATTGTTTATTGGTAACAACTCACCAAATAAACAGGGGCGGAGTACCTATGGGGGGTTTAATAAGCTGAGAGAGCTAACTAAGCAGCTTAGCTCTCCCTACAAAAAACGAAATTCTTTTTAATGATCTGATCTGATAACGAGCTTCGCTTATGAAACTGTTGCAGAAATCTATGAAGCACCTGCAAGTACCAGGATATACATATATATATAAAAATTTGAAATAGCAGAAATGATAAACAATCTAGAACAACAAGTCCTCAATCATTCACCAATATGAACAATCATAATGAAAAACACGTAAAAAGCATGTAACGTAAGAAATGAAATGCGGCTATGATTAACGACTACTGTAAGCATAAAGAATCATGAATTCAAATGATTAATTAAAAAAAAGAACCATGGATTTCAAATGCAAATGTGTATTTGGTTCAGATCGGCAGTCTGAACAGGAAAAATGTTGGATTTCAGCACTTTTTAGCATCTGTATACACCAAAAGTAAAGCGATGAAATGAAATGAAAGACAGGATCACGAAATTGAACGGCGTACCGACGTAGAGAGAGGGTGTGGGGGTTTGAAAGGTAGGGTTTAGGGATGAATGATTTGGGGTATTTGAGATGCGGCGGAGGTGAGAAAATGGAAAGAAAGTAGTGAAGGGAATGAGGCAGAAACTGCCCCTGTACAAGGACCACTGGTCTTGTTATTTCATATGCTGAATTTGCTTGGCTGCTTCCTTTCATCATCCCCCACCAAATTACATGTTCAAATCATGCCTATTCAAGTGTAGCTGTAGGTCCCACATTCTATTTTATTTTTATTTTTATTTTTATTTTTATTTTTATTTTTATTTTTATTTTTATTTTTGTTTCTGTTTCTGTTTTTATTTTTATTTTTATTTTTAAAAAAATCAGTTTAAAGTTTATAAAATGTGTATTTTGATATTCAAATGTTGATGTGATGTTGACATGTGTCGTTTAAAATTTACTTCATAACTTCTAGAAAAATAACGACCCATACAATTAATTTCTAGAAAAGTAACTACCCACACAATAAAAATGAGATATAAATTACTTGAATTGTGTTGGTAAAAATAGTTATTTACATTTTTACAATAAATATTTCACTTTTAAAAAAGTGCGTTATATTTTTATGTGTTCCATACTTGCATTTATTTTACAATCACCAAATAAAACAACAAAAATACCATAAGAGATGTTTCATTTATTTGACATTCACTCGGGACCGGACCTGTCAAGCCTCGAGCAATTCCGTACACTTGTAACTTATTTTCGTAAGTAGAATATTTTTTTAGGCAAAAACGACACATCCACTAAACTTTGCAGGGTGCTTCATAGTATAAGAAAATGCAAAGAAACAACAACTAAAAAACTCTAGAAATAAAAATAAAAACCCGAAAAAAACCATTGAAATCAACCAAAAGAAAACTATCTCGAAAAGTGGAATTCAACAAAAAAAACACATTGAACGGCTTTGTAAGGCTTTGATCCACCTCAAATGTAGACCCACTCTGACAAAAATCCTGAATCTGCTACTGAATTCACCAAATAAATAAAACAATCATATAGTTATAAATTATAACATAGCATTTTTATCTCTTTTCATTAAAGCATTAACATTTCACATGCATATCAAACAAAAAGACAAATCCAAAACTTTTTTGGCAACTCACTGCAAATATATCATGCTCTCCATAATTTGAGTTTATAAACTTGAGCACAAGATTAAGAGATTTCCACCATCAAAATTTGGTATTCCAATTTGATCCCAACAAATTAAAACAAAATTAACAGAAGTTGACAAATAACATATCTCAAGCCACATGTTTCTTTCTCTTCTTTGCTTTCTTTGCTTTCTTCTCTTGAGAATGTTCCGAGACCAAGTCTACAGGCTCGTGACCACGGCTGCCCGAGTCCAGAGAAGACCTGCTGCTGGGTCTTGAATCAGTGGACCGAACCTTTTCTTCAGATAGAGAACTTTTATGCCCACTGCTATGACTTAAGTGTCTTGATCTCGTACTCTTCGTGGGAGTTGCAAAATGATTAGCAGAGTTGGTCAATGAAGTTGCAAAAGAAGACATTTCGTACAGCTGTTTTAGTTTCTTGGTATCGTCTTTTGGAACTTCTCCAGGCTCCATATAATGAACAAACGACACTCGCCTTGTAATCTTACCAACTGTCAACATACATGAACGCAAAACAATATAAACGAGTCAGGCCTGTTTGTTAGCAGCTTTAATGGGACTCGGAGCTTATTCGGTCAGTTATACATGATTGTTTGGTAGTGGCTTAATGATACAGAAAAGGCCGATGCAGTAAGCTCTTCTAGGGAGGGAGCTTTATGCAGAAAGCTTCTAGGGGGAGCTTTATGCAGAAAGCCAAAAAAAATTACAAACTTGCCCCTCCCAAATAAAGAACATCTCGTTCCATCTATGAACAACTCTTCCAAATTTTCCCAATATATATAGACAGATTAATACACACAGACAGCTTTATTCATAAAGGACTTAACGGAAAACCAACCAAACAGCCCTTTATTATATTCACAAATATTGAATTAGATCCTAATATAGTAGAAATTTATGCATCTACACCCTACGTCCATAATAGTTCTGAAAGGCATAGATTTTTCTATTTTACTAAAGCACATCACATATTTTACGATTCTAGAAAATAGCTTGCAAAACTTTAACCAAATGAATGTTACTTAATTTGCTCTATTCTTTTGCAAAATCTTTCTTTGCATCCAATAAAAAAGCACTATTAAGTGTCAAATATGAAAACAAATGTATGATATGCAAGGATGCCTTGTACTTGACACGAAATCCCAGAGGCCCCACAATTTCTTTCTAACAAACAGCAAAATGAAGCAAGCTGAAATGAAGAGAGGCCATAATGCCTAATGCAACAAAGCAGAACTCACTCATCCGAAACTACATGGGACATTGCTCTGAAGAGGTGAATTTGGCTGATCAGTCCATGTAGAACATGTATGTCATCGACTATTTCAAACTCTTTTCATTGGCCCAGAGAGCACAGCCTCCTAGGGGGTTAAGAGTTCAAACCTCACCAAAGGCGAGTGTCCATTAGTATTTGCCGTATATAAACATTATATACTTCAAAAAAGCTAATTCAAACTCTTTCTATGACAATTTTTTTGGTGCAGAAAACAGTCCAAATTAAGTGTTTCATTTTGAAAAACCGTTAAAGTTGCCACATGACCATTTTGTAAGAAGTAAAAAGGTAATTTTTCATCTTCTTCCTTCTATCTGTATCCTCTTCCTTTCTTCTTTATCATCCTCATTTCTTCAACTTGAAAATCAAAAAACTTCTATCCAAAATTGAACTCAAAGCCAAAATCAATAACCAAGAAGTAAGGTTAACAACTTAAATCCAATAAAATAAATTAAATGAAATCCCAAAATATATCAAAAATTAAACCAAAAAACTATCTTTCGTGACTAATTAATTCATCCTAGACAATGAGGAGCATGTAAACCACACCCTTGAGGCCTTGGCATACGACACCAATTTCTTAGGTTGGTAACCAAACCCAGTTCAAAAAATCTAATGCAAATGACACCAGTATCACTACCACTCTGCTAGGCCCAAACCAGTTTGTAAGTATACAAAATAGCAACAGAAAGCAATTTGGGTATTTTGTTTATGAGAGTCTATAAATAGAGTGGGAATGCCATGGGACTGTCACGTGCTTATTCATATGAAGGCGTACATGTTTTTGAACCTAGAGTTAACAAGACATGACAAAGTCATACCAACTTTTGAATCTGCTGCAGCAGATAGAAAGACCGTGGCTTTTGGTTCCTGTGTAGCAAGGCTGACAACATCATACGACTTTCCTGTTAAGATGGAAAATGGACAGTAAGAAGAAGCTCCGCTGAATTATTAGCATTGATACATCCAACTGCTGGAAACTTTCTTTCAAAATGGTGTTTTAACTGTTAAGTCTTGACCTATAGTTATTCAACCACCCAGCAAGAAAGTGTTAATTTAGCCACTCGACTTTCGTTTTTCAAATTACTTTGGTCACTCGGGGAAAATTTAATGGAGGGGTTCGACCCCCTTTCCCCCACAATATAAATGGCATTAGAAAATGAACTATTAGGAATGAAAAAGTAACTTCATTAACCTTGAAATTGCTATTGGCAGACAATTTATTTTAGCTATCATTTTGTTTTCTTGAGTAGTCTATTTCTCTCTTCGTCATCAGATATTTAACTCCCCTTCATAAAATTCAGCATTGTCACCTCTGCTTCCTCCACTCTTTATTTACCACCTCAGAAACTCCACATTCTCTCATCTCAACAAAACCCCACCTTTGGCACCACAACCCTGGATGAATAGCTTTAGTGAAGATTAATTTTCTTTTTTCCTGTGCTTTATCTTACACAACACATACACAGACACTGAACTTACAAACCACATTACAACATCACTTGAACAAATAAACGTGTAAAATTCTTGTGGGGAATTGAGTTTGATGTAGGAGAAGTTAATTTCAACGAGCATTGCCAACTTGTATGCCACAAGCTGCTTACACAACCATGAAAAGCAGTCAGCTTTGTGTTAGGAAATGGACAAGGTGCATGAAAAGCAGAGGATGTGTATAAGTTGGTGTGGTTGTGTAGGCAGCTTGTGGCATACAAGTTGGCAATGCTCGTTGAAATTAACTTCTCCTACATCAAACTTAATTCCCCACAAGAATTTTACACGTTTATTTGTTCAAGTGATGTTGTAATGTGGTTTGTAAGTTCAGTGTCTGTGTATGTGTTGTGTAAGATAAAGCACAGGAAAGAAGAAAATTAATGTGAACATGCATGTATGGCATCCTTGTGAAGAAAATCTGGTATTAAGGATTCAAAGAGGGGGTAAATCTGAGTGAGTACGAGTCTTCAGCTGAATTCCTCCTCCTCCATCTTCATCATTCTTTTTAAAGTTTCTTTCTTTCCAAGAAGTTTTTTTGGGTACGTTTCTAGCTTAAAGTGAAAGAATCTGACATGGCTGACAATAATGGTTATTTGAAGAAAATGAAGAATTTTTTAGATGACAAAATAAAATTTTAGTTCTCCGAAGTTGATTATAGTTTAAACCTTCAACCTAGGGGTTTCAAAATGTTAGACAAGACCCTGAAAGATCCCTTCTAACTTTCAATTATGAATATGTAGCCAATAAACCAATTTTAACACTTCCATAATCGGGAGACTGATATAGATTTATATTATTAGTTAAGTGGCCATTTAAATTAGTTTTGCTCAACCTGAACACATGCATGAACGTTCTTCTGTGACATCTGCATTTGGTGTATTATACCCAAACGGCAAGGTACCAAAAAGGAAAAAAATGAAGAAAACTTAACTCACCAGATGAACCTTCAACAGTGCCCAAGTGCCCATCATGTTGATGAAGGTCCAACAAGAGCTGTTGCCCATCAAAATCAGGAATCTGCAGTACCAACCAACAAACCCTTTGCTCAAAAGACAATTATAGGAAATCTTATGACTGAATAGAACTTAAAAAATGACCTCTGGAGGTGAATTTCTCTTTAATTTTTGGAAAACTAAGGACAGATTGAATAAAAAAGCAAGTGTGACTTCCAAATTCTGAAATAAAAGGAAGACATCATACTTGATCTTTAGGCCATTGTATGAGCCACAGCTCAGTAGAATCTGTAGAATTTAGTTCAATTAGTGGAGCTCTTGCATCCTCCTGAAATTCTGGTGGAAGCTTGAATCCCGACTGGTTAGCATCTTCCATTACAATTTTGCTTCTGAAGATAGAAAATAACAAGCAGCTTAGTGATGAGATAATAGCAGGTATAAAAGACATATGAGGCACCGAAAAGACATGATGCACAAGACCTATTTGAATTTTGGCAAACATATGTATGTATGAAACAAGAACAAGAAAGTAACAATCAATACAGAGGTAGTAGAGCCTGATGAGGAGAACCTGCAGAGGGTTCTGTGAACAAAGGTTGTAGTCTAACCAATCTGAAAACATACTAATTAGTTTATTTATTAGGTTTTGAATTTTGAATTGGTTGTTGCTTCAGATGTTGTACTTGCTCGAGTAGCAACAAAAATGCACTCATCAAAGCATGGGAAGAAAAACTGTACACAAATATAGAATGGATTGCATCAAGTTGGAACCATTTGTTAATATATTATCATGATTCGCACTAGGGATTTTTCCTGAATTAATCAGAAGACAGTATAATAACAGAAGAGAAAACGAGCGGCATGAGCAATAAATCAATGGCGAGCAGTATTATACAGAAGCAAATCAAAAAACAAAAGCAGTAAAAGAAGCAAATCAAGCCAAAAAAAAAAACTGGGGTTCAGCTGCTGAAACGAATCAAGAGAGCAGCGGCGTGATGACTGGGCCGTCGACGATTGAGGAGGAACCGAGGGAGGAACAAGGGTTTCTATTTTATATATTGGGCCTATGTGGCTCCGCACCACAGTCCCGAAGTCCTTAAAACCCTGTTTAGTGACAACTTTAATCCGTGACATGATAAATTGTCCTCGGACTAACTCAGGTAAAAGTTTGATACACAGACTTTGTATCAGGCGGTATAATCATTGATAATCCGCCACCTGTGATTGAAGTTCTAACTCGACAAAACCAGAACATGGAGTATTAACATGAGGAATGAATGTTAATTTCATACCTGATGAACGGGGTCGGCACCTGCTGAAAGAAAGCAACGCCTGCCGGGATAGAACGTCGATCGGAGCTGGCGACGGAGGGAAGGCAGAGGCGGAAGGCCTGAGCGGCGGCTAAGGCTGGCGACGGAGGGAAGGAGAGGGGGCAGGAGAACCTAGCGGGAAAGGAGCGACGATTTGTTTCTCGTTTTAGGGTATCAATCTATTAAGTTTTTTTTTAATAATACGGAAAAATAATTAAAATAACCATTTATAGTTTGGAAATTAGCTGATAAGTTAATTGATAATCTAAATGATTAATAAATTATATTTGATAAAAATTAGCCTCTAAACATGTAAAATAATCAAACGTTTATCCGAGTAAGCACTTAGCAAATCACATTACCTTATCGTATGAATATAATAAGGACCAAGAATCTTACCCGGTAAAAACGAGATAAGGACCAAGAGTCTTACCCGGTAAGTGAGGGCGACGACTTTTACCATGGTAAGCGCTTATCGGGTAAATTGTTGCATACGATATCGTTTTTGTATACTAAAATCTTACCTGGTAAGTAATTAATAATGCTAAATTTTACTTATAAACACTTGTTGAATAAGTGTTTGGTAAACGGCCCCTTAAGCCGAATATGTTAAACTCAAAGAAAACCAAGCGTAATGACCCTAAGAGCTCTCACTCTAAAAGGTTGATGGAATTAAAAATAGCCGGTTATAAATATTTTATAATTCAAATAAACTTTTAATTATATAATATGTTAATCAATATAAATAATATGGTAAAAAAAATTAAGTAATATAATATATTAATTAAAAGAACTTAAAATTAATTATATATATATATATATATTATAAATTTTAAATTTATTAAAATAATCATTAGTCCCAGCACCTTCGAAGTGCCTATATCTATTTTACAGATTTGGTTCTTATACTTGTGAAATTAGTTCAAAAACTTCCTTTCTCTTTTTACTTTAACCCTTCCGTCATTTGTCGACCTAGTGACATTTTGGTGATTTTAATAAAGAAATTGCTAAGAGATGAAACCACAAGCCGAAAATGGCTATTTTAATTAATTTTATTAGATGACAATATAACATCCACATAATCTTTGCTTAAATTTTTTATGTCACGTTATACATATGAGTTACCACTCAATAGGTTAAATAGTACCTTAAATATAAAGATCTACTTTAAACCTTTAAATGACGATTTTGAAAATTGGTTTTATTTTCATGCAATTTTTCCTATAGTAAATATTATAATTTAAGTTCCAAGGTGTTCCATCTATGAAATCTCAAGTTTTGTTCCACAAAAATTAGTTTGTAACATGTTGTCCAATCTATTTTTTGTCCCATGAAAATTAGTTTATGTTCCATGTTTTCCAATCTGATTTTTTTCTCTTGTCATGTCTTACCCAGTCTAGGCATCAAACGACAAACACAACCTTAAGGTTTTTTATCGAATGTTCTTCAAAAAATTTAGAATTATTTGAAATGCATACAAACTGGTTAAAAAATAATAATATGGGTTTCATGAGTTGCCTAAAATCAAGAATACAAGAAAAACCCTTAAAATCGATTAAATTGGATCATTTATGATAGTGTAAGTGGTTTAATGGGTCATCATAAGTCCAATGTTCAACATAAAATTGAAGGTATCTAGTTTATTACTTTTGTTTATTTATTTATTTATTTTTACTTAACTATATATTAATAGGTTATGATAAATTGAAACCATCTATATCAATCAGATCAGGATGTTTTTCGACGGTTTGGCTTGATTGGTCTAGTTGTTTTTCATCAGACCGTTCGATTTAAAAAATTCCGTTACATAGATGAAATTTTCATTATTTTATCGATTTTAAAAACCACATGAACAAAATAATAAAATCAATTTTGGTTGTGTAAAAGACAAAAAATCGTTAAAAGAACAAAAATATCCGTTATTTAATGTTTTTTAATGACAAATCCAGACGTTTTTACAAGCGATGCCAAAAAAATGTTATTTTTGACAAACCTCATTAGACCAAATTTGTTACTAAAGTTTGTAATTATAACCTTGTATAAATTTGAACATCTCCATAAGCAAATATAAGGGCAAAGATATCATATAAATAAGATTTTGCATTTACTTGCAATTATCCTCCACTCATAGAATGTATACATACCCTCTCTTATTCTTCTTCATTCTTCAACCAACTGCAGACATGAAGACCAAAAGGAAAATAATGTATGAAGATGAACTGATTATGGAGAAGAGGGCAAAAATGGAATTGGACAGACTCGATAACTTGCCGGACTCCCTGCAGCTTCACATTTTCTCTTTTCTCGACACCAAACACGCCGTTTAAACACGTTGCTGTCAAGATCGTGGCGTACATTCTGGACGTCGATGCCGGTTCTACACTTGAACACTTTTTCCCTAGACTAAGCGTGTTCAATATGATTGAGAACAAAGGTTTTGAGTTATCGTGATCAATCCGCCAAGTTGAACAGGTTAACCTTCAACCGTTATGGCGGAATATGCAGTACCAAGATATTAAACGAAGTTGTAGATTATTCATTTTCGCACGGTGTCTACCAGTTGGAAGTATTTATCCAGTGTAGTGAAAATGGTACCTGGCCGATTGGCTCCTCCGACTCATTGACAAGCCTGAAACTAGAATCTTGGTGTCATGTTAGTGGTCCGTTACTATCGGGATCATTAAAGAATCTAACTGTTTGAACCTCAGACGGGCAACCATAATGACACTCGAACCCTTCTCGGAGTTCCCAATGTTAGAAGTTGATGTTGCATGAGTGTCATCTTCATACAAATGGCAAATCTCTCGATGTTTACGCTCCAAGACTTTCAGATTTAGCAATCTCAGGTTGATGGTTCGACTGTGGGGGGCTCACAACTCCAAACCTCAAATTCTTTTGAGTATGAAGGGTTTGGTTTTCTTACTTTTTGGAACCATGATGGTCTTCTGGTTCTTGACACCGTGCTCATCGATTTCAGTGGTTTTTGCTTTCGTAGGCATGATCAGGAGAGGACGTTTGATGGTCTCATCTCCTAGTTTCAGGCTTTTCATAACACTACATCCCTCACGCTCTTAACGGCTATTGTTAATATTCTCTTTTTGTTTCCAGAAAAGTTGGTGAATCTTAATTCACCCTTTTGCAACTTGAAGTGTTTGAATCGCGCTCTTAGGTACAACAATCAGTTTGCAAGGCCAAGTAGATGTTCGTTTGAAATACCTTCAGATGTGAAAGCCTACTTGCTCGACAGCTCTCCTGAGGCCAAATTTACCATCATATATTAGATGCAAAATCTCACGACATAATAAGTGTTTGAAATGCAAAATCTCACGACATAATAAGTGCCTGAAATGCAAAACCTCATGACATTCTAGTTTTCTAAGTTAATCTTAAGCACTGGTTGTTGTTTTTGACATGATGGACCTTTTTCTTGTAATTTCTTTTTGCCAACTTTTTTGTTCAATTTATAGTGATTAAATGGCATGACTTTCATTTTGTTCCGAAAATACACACACACACACACACCTATATAGGAATTGTTGATTCAAAGGCCCAGGCACGGTTCCGTTAGGAACCTAAAATTGATCAGGAACCTAGAAACGCCCACAACAGGACATGTGGCATATGCATTTGAAGTATAGATGTGTTATTCATCATGTAAGTTTGATTCATGACGAATAACACATCCATATTCATCCTGAATGTATGATTCATGATTAATAACACTTCCGTATTCATAATTAATTGCGTTATTCACGATGAACATCCAAAGAGTGACAGGTGGCGCATCGTGGGCGGTTCTTGGGTTCCTAATCAATTTTGGTTTAAGGGTAAATGCATGTAAAACCATATAAAAAGAATGGATAAATGCGCACCTCGTACCATGACTTTTGTTAAGACAATGCAGCAAAGTGTTGGTGCCCTCAGCTCCAGCGGATACAAAAGGTAGAAATTTTCGATTTCATGCATTAACCTCTCTTCGGAAACTATATACAACTTAGAAAGAATCATCAACCCATATCACGTACATAACCATCTTCCCTCATAACCATTTCCAATGACCAAAGCAGCCCATGAATAGCTTCGGCCTGAGGGTGAATTCGGTCATTTGCTTTGAAACTATTAACCTCACTCTTAACCTCAATTGCACTTTGACCATGTACCTTAAGCAACTTATTTCTTTTAATCATTGTTCTAAGTTTTGCTACAATATCCCAATCGTTATTGGCAGCATGCATATTTGATAAAAGAATCAAGTATCCAGCTTGACTGGAATCAGACAGGAACAGGTTAGTTGCTGCCACGTCTCCCAATTTTGTGTTGTGATGAATCCTACAAGCACCAAGCAATGCCCCCCAAATCTGAGGCCCGGCCGGTACACCCATATCATTAATAACGCCAATCGCCTTATCCAATTCTCCCATTCTCCCAAAAAGATCAACCATTATTGCATAATGATTTGATTCAGGCGTAAGTCGGTACTCATTTAACATGGTGTTGAACAGTTCCACGCCTTCTTTAATCAAGCCTGCATGACTGCAAGCAGATAAAATTGAAAGGAATGTCACATTGTTCGGTTTGATTGTTGAAATCTTGACCATGTAATCGAATAACTCCAGAGCTTCCCTACCCTTCCCATGAATTCCATAACCAGCAATCATTGAGCTCCAGATGACAACATCTTTATGATCTATGCCTTTGAATACTTTGATGGCATTACACAAACTACCACATTTCGAGTAAGATTCAATGAGTGAAGCCCCTACAAAAGGATTGTATTCAAAGCCACACTTGATGACATAACTGTGAAGGCACAGTGCTTGTTGAAGAACTCCTAAATTCGAACAAGCTGTGAGGATTTTCACCATAAGAATAACATCTGGTTGGATTTCATTGGATAACATGTTAACAAAAAGCTCAATTGACTTGAATGCCATTCCATTTTGAACACATCCGTTTATCAAAGTCATCCAAGAAACTGCATCTTTTTTAGCCATTCTTTTGAAGAGTTCAATGGCTTCATCAGGGGAAGAGCAGTTCATGTACATGTCAATCAGAGATGTAGAAACAAAGGCATCTAACTCAAACCCTTTCCTTGCGGCAAGTTCATGAATTTTCTTGCCTTCTTCCAAGTTCCCGGTGGCTTCACATGCTTGAAGAGCGCTTATAACAGACACTGAATTGGCTTCAACTCCTTTACGCATCATCTCATTGAAAAGATTTAGTGCTTCATCAGCAGCGCCATTATGAGCATAACAAGAAATCATTGAGGCCCATGAAATGATATCTCTCTGTTTCATTTCCCTGAATAACATAGCTGCAGCACTAACGCAACCACATTTCACGTAAAAGTTAAGTAAGGCATTACACACTGACAGACCCTTGTCAAACCCTTTCTTAATTACAAATCCATGAACACAACTTCCCGCCATCACATTCACCAACTGCGCAGAGGCGGAAAGAACGCTAACCAGAGTTACCGAATCTGGATTAACATTCCCCTCCATTAACATTCTTGAGAAGAACTCCAGTGCTAAATCTGAACCATCATTGTGCTGGTACCCGGTAACAATATGGGTCCACATAACAATATCAGGCTCTGGATATTCCTCAAAAACTCTTAAAGCTTCATCCATTTGTCCACCTTTTGAATACATTTCAATCAGAGAAGACCCCACAAACAAATCCGAATCCATCTCATAACTCTTTTTGACAAACCCATGAAGCATTCTTCCATACCTGAGCTCCAATAATCCAGAACAAGCCTTTAAAGCAATCGATATCGTAGCCTGGTCAGGTTTTTCGACAGTGTTCATATCACGAAAGAGTTGAAGAGTTTCAACATATAGCATCTCTTTACAGTAGCATTTGAGGATGGAGTTCCATAAATACACAGTCGGTTGAAGCGTTTCGTCAAACAGCTTGCATGTGGTTTCGAGCGTCGCATATTTGGCATAGCAATTGCTCAATTTAGCAGCAATAAAACTATCTTGCAGAAACCCAGTCTTGATGGTGAGAGAATGCAATTGTATCACTGAGCTGCAATTGCTACATGATCTAAAAAGATCAAGAACAATTTCCCTCCTTTTCATGTGAAAAGCTGAAATTCCAAAGGTTAGTAATTTGATGGGGTATTCAGGATAAATTTTTGCTGCTTACATAAGTCCTTGAAATAGAAAGCAAATTTGCTGACATGAATAGAGCATGGAGCATATGGAGGGCATAAGAGATTAAGAGGATTAGGCCGTATTCTTAAGCTGGTTGATTCTATCTAAACACTTTTTTCTCATTTCAATTTCTATTCTTGTCGTCCCCATAAATGAAATTCCTCTTTTTCGTAGTATTTCCAGTACAGTGCTCTTTAAGATTCTTTATATATGCCAATTAATGCCATCAGGGTCAGAGATTGATTCCCCAGCCAAGGTTCCCCCATTCTTTTCTTGACAATTATCTGCAGTAGCTAGATTGTTTATTCCTTGTTTAAACTACCACTTGAGACATTTTGATATTAACAAAGCTATTGCAGCGAATAAAATCGAGCCCATTTTCCTGAAACAAGTGATTTGTTGAGTTCAAATTTCTTCACTACATAGCATTTGGAACACAGGTATCATAACACGGAAGCGAAAACCAATTTTTTATACAAATGGTTCCATGTTTTAAATATATTATACAAAGGGTAAAAATACAAATCAATCAGGTGCATTCAATAAAGACTTTGTGTTATTGTCATATGAACAGTGCAAAAATAAAAATATGCCCACTAGCATCTTAGCTGAAAGTAAGAAAACAAATTAAAGATGCCACGACAAGCTTGCATAGTCACAACCAAAAGAGGGGTGTCCCTGAAACATGCTGAAACAACATTGAAAAGAAGTTCAACCCAATGAACTACATCTTCTACGCATGCCAAATTTACACATCTTATAATTCAATGCAAAGAATCTACATGTACTAATATATGAAGAAAAAAAACCTCACACCTTTTGTATACTAAATTACTAATATATGAAAAAACTTGAGCATCCAATTCTATGCTTCTCATCTTTATTACTTGTGTTTTTTTCATCCCTAATTCTATTTCCTTTTTCAGATTGTTGTAAAACTCATTATGCAAATGAATCATGGACACTAGCAGACACCATCTCTTTGAGGATTATATTTCTTTCTTTCCTCCTAACTGGGATAAGCATATACTTAGCACAATATTAATTTCTGCAATCAGATTCACTATTCCACTCATCCATTGATAAAAAGAAAAAAAAATGTATCTTTAATTCCTAGTCTCCTAGACCCTAGCCTACCAAGCAGAATCAAAACTCGCATTCGCATCCTAACATTTTGATAATGAGTACAAGTTTTGACCTAGGATTTGGTTGGAAACTTGCATCCAAACATGTTTACAGCAGCAAAGTTGAATTATACATAAAATAAAGTTGAATTATGGATTACCTTAATCCGCCAGATGACGGATTGATGTCTGTTCTTCACTTTGTTAGTTTTGCCCCTGCTTGGGCTCGTTTCAGAGACAACCTTCTCCTTCAAAATTCAAATCAGTAACATGGGATCTTAAAAGTTGAAAAAAAAATGGAGACCCCAACCCAGTACAGCCAATTTGTTGAATTACGTAAATATATGTAAATAAACATAGACCCCTATTCCATTGCCTTGTTTTTCTATTTGTTAGTATTAATTTGGATAAATTGTATAAAAAATAATTTATTTTTATATAAATGTTATTTTTGATAGCATATTTCCAAAATCTTCATGTTCATATCTGATATGTTAAACCTTAAATATTATATATTTAGGTAACTAGATAAACTAATAGCTGGTTACAATATGACATGGATGTAACATAAAAATCAATATTATTTCATAATATATAATGATATGGATTTTTTGATATTAAGTTAGTTTTAAAATGAACTTTTAATGACTTTTTTGACCAATTTTTAATGACTTTTATAATTTAGTTCTTTTATAAGTAAATTATTATATCCATCTTCAACCTTTATTCCCTTCTTCTTATTCTCCAATCTTTATTTTTTAAATCAATATCCATATATGATAAATTTAGACAAATTATCAAAATGAAAACAATAATCATTTGGAACACATAAATAATCAAAAATATGTAACCAATAAACCAAAATTAACACTTCCATGATTTGGAGACTGAAATAGATTTATATTAATAGTTAAGTGGCCATTTGAATTAGTTTTGATCCAACTGAACACATGCACAAACGTTCTTTCGTGACATGTGCATTTGGTGTATTATACACAAACGACAAGGTACCAAGAAGGAAAAAATGAAGAAAACTTAAACTTATGCTCACCAGATGAACTTTCAACAGCGCCCATCATGTTGATGAAGGTCCAACAAGAGCTGTTGCCCATCAAAATCAGAAATCTGCAGCACCAACCAACAAACACTTTGCTCAAAAGGCAATTACAGGAAATCTTATGACTAAATAGGACTTAAAAAATGACCTCTGGTGGTGAATTTCTCTTTAATTTTTTAGAAAATTAAGAACGAATTGAATAAAAAAGCCAGGGTGACTTCCAAATTCTGAAATAAAAGGAAGACATCATACTTGATCTTTAGGCCATTGTATGAGCCACAGCTCAGTAGAATTTGGTTCAATTAGTGGAGCTCTTGCATACTCCTGAAATTCTGGTGGAAGCTTGAATCCCGACTGGTTAGCATCTTCCATTACAATTTTGCTTCTGGGGATACAAAATAACAAGCAGCTTAGTGATGAAACAATAGCATGTATACCAGACATATGAGGCACCGAAAAGACATGATGCACAAGACCTATTTGAATTTCGGCAAACATATTACATATGTATGTATGAAACAAGAACAAGATAGTAACAATGAATACAGAGGTAGTAGAGCCTGATGAGGAGAAACCTGCAGAGAGCTCTGGGAACAAAGGTTGTAGTCTAACCAATCTGAAAACATACTAATTAGTTTATTTATCAGGCTTTGAATTTAGAATTGGTTGTTGCTTCAAATGTTGTACTTGCTCGAGTAGCAACAAAGATCCACTCATCAAAGCATGGGGAGAAAAACTGTACACTAAATAGAATGGATTGCATCAAATTGGAACCATTTGTTAATATACTATTATGACTCGCACTAGGGATATCTCCGGGATTAATCAGAAGACAGTATAATAACAGAAAGGAGAAAGAACGGCATGAGCAATAAATCAATGGAGAGCAGTACTATACAGAAGCAAATCAAAAAACAAAAGCAGTAAAAGAAGCAAATCAAGCAAAAAAACAGGATACTGGGGTTCAGACATTCAGCAGCGACGGAGCAAGCGAGCAGGGGAGTGATGACTGGGCCGTCCAAGATTGAGGGGAACCGAGGGAGGGAACAAGGGTTTCTATTTCATATATTGGACCTATATGGCTCCGCACCGCAGTGCTGAAGTCCTTAAAACCCTGTTTAGTGACAACTTTAATCCATGACATGATAAATTGTCCTCGGATTAACTCAGGTAAAAGTTTGATACCGAGACTTTGTATCAGGCGGTAAAATCATTGCCAATTCACCACCTGTGATTGAAGTTCCAACTCGACAAAACCGTAACATGGAGTATTAACAGGAGGAATGAATGTTAATTTCATACCTGATGAAGGGCGTCGGAACCTGCTGGAGGAAAGCAGCGCCTGCCGGAAGAGAACGTCGATCGGAGCTGGCAACGGAGGGAAGGCGTGAGCGGCGGCTAGGGCCGGCGACGGAGGGAAGGCGTGAGCGGCGGCTAGGGCCGGCGACGGAGGGAAGGCAGAGGCGGAAGGCGTGAGAACCTAGCGGGAAAGGAGCTACGATTTGTTTCTGGTAATCGATTTGTTATTTTAATATTTCTTTTTATTTTTTATAATTAATACGATTTATGTAGTTTTGATAAAAATAATGTTTTATTTTTAAATAAAAATAAATTTGAAAATATATTATAAAAATTTTTAAAAATATGTCGACATTAATATTAAATTAATTATTTAAATTTTTCGTTTTTTATACAATTTTTTTAATTCAGTTTTTTATTATAATTTAATTTATGTCTAGTAAAGTGATTTTTTTTGGCTTAACAATATAATTTTATAAAGATAATTATTCTGTTAGAATTCAATGATTATCCTAATTATATTTTAGATTTTTTATATTTAAAATAAGATGTTTATCTTGTATTTGATTATGTTTATCTGCAATTAGTTATACGAATTCAGATATGGAGCTTTATAAAAAATGATTTTTAAATGTTTTTGTCAAATGCTTTATAATATAATATAGATTAATCTTTTAAGTTTTTTTTCTATTAATGTGGAAAAATAATTAAAATAACCATTTTTAGATGTTTTATTTGTTAACCTATATTTGACAAACTAGCTGATAAAGTATCTGATGAATTATAATCTAACTGATTAATAAATTATGTTTGATAAAAATTAATTTTTATGTATGTAAAATGGTTAAAAATAACAGTAAAAACAACTTAAGCTGAATATCTTGAACTCAAAGAAAACCAAGTCTAACGACTCTGGCCCACTTTAAAGGGTTGATGTCATGAAAAAAATAGTCAATTACAAATATTTCATAATATAATTCAAATAAATTTCTAATAATATAATATGTTAATTAATACAAACAATACTGTAAAGACAAAATAAATAATATAATATGTTAATTGAAATAATTTAAAATTGATTATTATACATATATTATAAATTTTGAATTTTTAGAACAAATCTACGTTTATTTATAATTTTAAATAACCATTACATATAATATGAATAACAATATAACTGTTCTAAAACTCGGTATGCAAATGAATCATGGACGCTAACATACACCATCTATTTGAGGATTATATTTCTTTCTTTCTTTCTTCCTAACTGTGATAAGCATATACTTAGCACAGTATTCATTTATGCAATCGGATTCATTGATTCACTCATCAATCGATAAAAGACAAACTGTATCTTCAATTCCTAGTCTCCTATACCCTGTCCTGCCAAGTAGAATCGAAACTCACATTCTCATCCTAACATTTTGATAACGAGTACAGGTTTTGACGTGGGATTTGGTTGGAAACTTGCATCCAAACATGTTTAACAGCAACAAAGTTGGATTACGGATTACCTTAATCTGATGCCAGATGATGGGTTGATGTATGTTATTCACTTTGTTAGTTTCGCCCCTGCTTGAGCTCGTTTCGGAGACAATTACAACCCATTTGTTGAATTAGTAAATTTATGTGTAGGATTCAGTAAGTGCATCTTAATGCTCATTAACATATAAATAACCACACAGATTCCTATTATATTGCTCTCTTTTTTCCATTTGTTAGTATTAATTTGGATAAATYGTATAAAAAATAATTTATTTTTATATATATGTTATTTTTAATAACATATTTCTAAAATGTTCATGTTCATATCTGATTGTTAAACCTTAAATAAAAATGAAAATGACGGTGAATTAATTTTTATTACCTTAATTTAACCAGGAATGAAAATTTGGGCTTTCAGATGAAAGAACTCATTATATTATAGAAAACCAAACAGTTTTATTATTTATATTATCATTGATTACTGTTTAATATCTCTAATTAAACATCTTTTAGAGAAAAAAATTAATAGGATAATAAATATTGGATTCTCCAAAATGAGAAATCGCTTAATATATTTTTTTAATTGATTTTTGATTCTCTAATTTTAAAAAATCTATATTAAAAATTATATTAAAAAAAAGAAAATTAATTTTTTTATATTCAAAGTAGTTGTCAAAGATGTTGTGAGTTTTTTTTTTTAATTATCCTAACAAGAATAACTTTACCTTATTTTAAAAATATATTTTTAACCATAAAATTTATATATATTTAAAATTAACCACACATTACCTTTTACGTACCAACTCGTGTCCATGCGTAGAAGGACCAATTTACAAAAAAATAAAAAAATGCTTGCATCGAGGGCTGAGCTTGATTTGACCTATGACTGAACTCAACTTGATAGCTTGAGCCATCCTTACGCACCGGCCGGTGCGTAATGTGTAAGGGCCTCACCACCCAAAAAATTCTTTTGTTTACTCATTTCTTCACACATTATACATATCTGGTTTATTTTTAAATTTATCAATATATACGTACAAATCCAATGTATAAAAAAAATATTTTCTCCAAATTCTCAATGATCAATGTTTGTGATTTAGAAAGTCAGAGTATGTGTTTTTTGCGGAGGTTCATGGCAGTTAGTCAACGACGTGGTAAATTACATTCCAGTGGGAAAAGTCTAAATAACCCAATGGACTTTAGTGTTTGGAATAATTAAGTCATTGGACAATTTTTTGGAACAAATAAGTCCTTAGACATTCCAATATTTATTAAATAACTCATTGGACATTCCAAAACCTGTTAGATACATTTTTATGACTTATACAACTGGTTAATGTGGTAAAATAATTAAAAAAATGTGGAAAAAAAACCCAATAGACTTTCATATTTTGAACGATTAAGTCTCTAAACATTTTTTAAACCAAAAAAGTTCTCACATCTATAAAATGAAATAAATAAACCAAAAAAATAATTACATTTAAAAAAAATATGAAATTTATTTTAATTAAAAATAAAATATATTATGTTGGTGATTTTTCAAATTAAAAAACATAGAAAATAATTTGATTAAATTACCGACGGAATAACAATTTTTTTTAACTAAATACATAATTAATTAAAATTCGTCCCTAATCCGGTGGTGAAATGAGATTCAACCACGATATTTCACACTTATTAACATGTTACTGTGTTAGAACACCTGACGGTGGTCAAGTTAGTCATCAATTAGATATAAATAATCCATGCATATATATATATATATATATATATATATATATATACACACACACACACACACCAGTGAACACTAGCAATGAATTTTAATTAATTATATATTTAGTTAAATTTTATCGTTAATCTTTCAGTAATTTAATCAAATTATTTTCTATTTTCTTAATTTAAAAAATCATCAACAGAATATATTTTAATTCTAATTAAAATAAATTTCATCAACAATTCTTTTTAAATCTTTTTTTTTCTATTTTTTTATTTAATAAATTATATATGAAATATATTTTATTTTAATTAAAATAAATTAATCAGTAATTTTTTAAAAATCCTTTTTTATTTGAAAAATCACTGATAAAATATTTTTTATTTTTAATTAAAATAAATTTTATCAATAATTTTTTTTTATGTCAGTATTTTTTTTGTAAATATAAGCATCTTTTGGTATATTTGTTTCATTTTATAGTTGCAAGTAATCTTTTTGGTTTAAAAAATGTTTAGAAAATTAATCATTCAAAATATGAAAGTCAATTGGTTTTCTCTCCTCATTTTTTCCATTATTTTACCATATTAACAATTTTTACAAGTGATAAGAATGTATCTAACAGGTTTTAGAAAGTCCAATGAGTTATTTAACAAGTTTTGAAATGTCCAATGACTTATTTGTTCAAAAAAATTGTCAAAAAACTTAATCATTCAAAACATCAAAGTTCATTGGGTTTTTTTAGACTTTCCTCTATTCCAGAAACGCAAAAAAGTTGTTGTATTATTATTGATACACTTAATATTTTTAGGTTTGATCAATTATTTAGTTAGAAAATTAAATTTACATGATTTTCAATCGTTTTAAGTTAACATATAGATCTACGTCATCTAATTTGATTGTCGAGTTAATTGACACCGACGATACAAAACATTTTTTGGCTATTGATGTAAATATCTCGCCGTAAACCTTAAGATTGCATATTTACAATCGTGGTATTGAAAACAATCGATGGACCCCATATAAATATATTGATTTGATTTTAATAAATGCTTTTGTTTTTGACACCACGTGTTGCATAACCCCAATCTTTCTCTTTTATTACGCCATCAATTTTGCCTTTTTCTCATTTGCAATTAAACGCCACCATTTCGGGTGGAATTAGGCCAATCACATCAAGCCACCCTTGTAACACGCGGTTGTAAAATATTTTATTTGATATTTTTTACAATGACAACCATTAGAATCACATAATCAACGATTTTGCTTTTTTTTAATAGTTTTATTAAGAGATAATCTCTAAATTATTAAGAGGTGAACTTGTTTAGCAAAAAAAAAATTGTCTCTTAATGATTTTAAAATCTTTTGAATGATTTTATATCATGGACCTACATTAATCATTCATTGTAAACAATTATATTTTATTTTTCAACTATATCATGAGAGTCTCTTAATCATTTTGATCATTTGATCGTTCTGCACCAAACCATTCATCAACTGCCAAACAATTTCTTAATATTCATAATTAAATATTTAAAATACAAGATAGAACTCATAAAACTTATTGTAATTATTGATTTAAAAGAACTGTTTGAGTAGATTATGAGGATGAAACATCCACACATTGACATTGAATATGGTTTAATTGGTACTGATATACATGCTTTGTACTGCGATGTTTAAGAAATTATTGAGGTAATTTTTATTTATTTAGTATAGTTGTTACTTATTCCCTCTTAACTTCGTTATGCTGTGTTTCTATTCAATCAACTGATAGCAAAACGTGAACGAGACTGATGGATGGTATGGCTAGCGCTACAATAATATCCAGGTTGTCTTATGACGATGATAAACGAGAAATGTATGAATGATATATGTTCTTACATAAATGTTTACAAAAAAGGTATCGGAAAACAACCATAATGTTTCGTAACACAAATCGTAAATACTTGACAAACAGTTCGTAGAACTAGGTATAACAAATTCATAATGATTTCATAGACATTTCCTAAAAGTAAAGTGAATCGATTCCTAAAAGTCATAACCATTTTATACACTGAGGTGTTCATAGGTTGAAATCCAATGGATTTTTATATGATATGATTCATTCCAATCCGATGGATGATTTTGTTTCAACTGTTGAATACTACTATTAGTTATTCATTCGATCATACTGAATCAATAAAATTTTCATACAATTTTCAATCAATTTAATGAACTTTTTGAATTAATTTATTAAAAAACAATATGTATAAATGCCAAGTTAAAAATAATATCGTAAAATGTTAATTGTTATATATAGTTTATAATTAGATGGAAGTTGAATGATTGTCATTCAAATTAAAAAGGACATCCAATTTGAATGTTTAAATTTTGGATCTGATTTGATCCAATTACAATTGAATGTCCAATTATTATCGGTCAATTGCATCTGGATCAGTCAGTTTTAATTAAATTACATGACTTTCTATGCACCCCCAACATACACAATTAATACAAAATGCAGATAAAAACAGAAAAAAATATATATAAAAAACTAAATTGATCATGAGGTTTTTTAAGCCTTTTCTATGTTTTATTTTTATGGTCAAATGTAATTGAAACAAGGTTTAAACTATAAAAAGAAAACAACTAGAAAACAACGCCGCAAATGTTTTTTTAAAAACGTGATTTGACAATTTTAATATTAAGAAGATGTTTTATAGCTTAATCCATGAAAAATATATTTAAAAAATAGATGAATATTATTTATATAATCAGTGGTGGATTTAAGTTTTTTTTTTAACGGGTATATTTTAAGATGGATTAAAGGTTCGTAAAATTATGGTTTGAACAGAGGTGAAAGTCAACAAAGTTTGACCTACGGGAAGTCAATTGTGTCGATTTAGAGAATATAATATATATTTTTAGAATGGAATCAACCTTGATCATCTAAATAAATACATATTGCCTAAAAACGAGATAAAAACGACAATTTTTAATATGAATTGACGTTTGGGAACAAAATAAATCATGAAAAAATAATAAAATCAAAATGCGAGAAAAATTAACAATAAGTTGCTTTGACATGCTGATATGATGTTTATAATTGTATTTTTTTTTTGAAAAACAACAAAATATATTAAAAGGAGCAGTAAAAGTTACACAGTCAGGGAGGAGCAGAAACAACGAGATGCAATAAACAAAAGCAGACCTAGGCCATAGCTGAACGGAAGAAAATGACGAGAGAGGATTACATGAAAAAGCAAACAAATGCCAACGAACCATCGAGTAACCCGGGAGGAACAATATGTTCATAAATTTAGAGCAGAGCCGCTAGCCAACTATTTCAAGGGATAAAATCCTTGAGGGAACGTCTTGTCTCGAGATCCAATCATACACAAACTTGGATATCGGAGAACAAATCATCTGCCAAACTTGACTTGTTTTGGTAGACCAAGTTGTTACAGTGATCCCGTATCAAGTAAGCAGTTGCCCAGATTGTTGCCTGCCAAACCCTCGAGAACAAACCTCGAATCGGATCGCCACCGGTGTGATTAAGCACTTACTTGTTTGTGTGTACCCACAATGAACTCAAACACCCCACCATTTCTGAATCCTTCCCCATACTTCCAATGCGAATTAGCATTCCACGAGACAATGGTCCAAAGTTTCCTACAAATAATTACAAATTGGACAAAGAACCAAGTCCAAATCAATTCCGCGATCTCCCAAAGCCACCCGAACTGGAAGCCTTCCGTAAAGAGCCCTCCGAACGAAGATGTTGCTCTTTAAGGGTAACCGATTATTTAAGCAGGTTTTCGATGTACATCGTCTTCGGTAAGAGTTACATCGTCAATTAGAGTCTTTAATGTGAGATTTTGACTTTGATTCTTCTAACTAATTAAAAGATAACAAACTGAGTTTTCACTTAAAAGATTTGAACCGTAACCTCTTACATGTGGAGTCGTAAATCAACCATTTGACCGTGTTTAATTTCTATTCGTATAGATTTGGTTTGAAAGCATTTAAAAGCACCCCTCAAGAGCAAACAAATGTACTTTTCATACGGGCTACGACTAAATATTTTTTCTCTTGCAACAATCGAGTGAAAGCATAGAAGGAGTCTGTCCGGTTCCTATCCACCGATATTAGAAACCAAGATCATTAAAAAAAATCAAAAGCTTCATTTCATAAAAAGACATATTTACTAGACAAACTTGGTCAATTACAATGATTTGAAAACCTACTTGGTACCAAATAATTCAAAGGTTGTCTAAGATCTAAAGCAACCATCTTACCAAAAAAGCCATGAAATTTTCTAACAAAATCATCTAAATTTGTTGCAATTCTTTCAGCAAAAGTGGATCGAAAAGCCTTCGGATTCATTAGTATGATGGGTTTGTTTTTAAAGCATGGAAGGGTTTTCTTGATACCATTCTTTAATTCCAACACCAAAACCCCAAATTGGTTTTCTTGATCATATTCTTTAATGGCAATCCCCCAAAAACAAAGGGTTTCATAATCCCTTAACTCCAAGTGAAAATTGAAGTACCATGTGAAAGAAAGAGAACGAACCCACTTGTGTCTCTTTTCGGCCCTAATAATCCCATACGCAACCAGAAGCACGTAACAACTTCAGATCTACTTCAATTTTCCTTTTTATATAATTCCCATAATCTGATGCTCAATTATGCTTCATCTCTTTAACTATTTTGATTTGGGTAGATCCGAAACATCGGAGCATTAGAGAAATTGCAGGTTTTTAATGGGGGCATCCGAGTCTGTACCAGTAGCCGAAGACGAGGATGAAGAAGTTGAAGAAGAAGAAGAAGAAAGGGATAACCATGGCGGCAACGATACAAGAAGGTTACTAGGTGAAGATGATAGTTTAATGAAGAAGGTTGTAGAACAAGAGCCTGAACTGTTACCCTGCCACGCATCGGCGTCGCCGTTATCTCCTCAGCCGTCGTCGTTCGGCACCCCACGGTTGGCTCCGTCCATCAAGGTATGGGACCCTTGCAACGTTCTTTCTCCACCGCCGCAGTTCACACGTAGCTTTTCCGACGCGGCGGATGACGATAGAACTATGACGGAGGTGTATTTGATTTGTCAAGGTGAGTGTCATGTGAATTTACGGCCAGATTTGGTCGGCGGTCGTTGCCCTGAAGCTGCACTGACCCCTAACGGGAAGAGACAAGCTAGAGCCCTAGCCGTGTTCTTGAAATCACAAGGGATTCGATTCAATGCCGTTTACACCTCCCCTTTAGATCGGGCTCGATCGACTGCTCTTCCCATCTGTCAGGTACTCCTTTTTCATGGCGGATTTCACAATTATTTCATCTGTTTGATATACAAGTTATATGATATATATATATATATATATATATATATATATATATATATGTATGTATGTATATATTCATTTGAAGGAATCCACATCGACGAATTGTGCCTTGAGCTTTCAAGATTTCACATTATTCCATCTGTTTGATACACAGATTATATGTATGTATGTATGTATGTATGTATGTATGTATGTATGTATGTATGTAGAGCATCATGTGAGAAGTTAAACATTTTGTAAGAAGGTGAGAAGTTTCGATATCATATATGATTACACTCCTTTCGGTGTGTTTAATCTTATATGATTAAGCGTCTATGTGTTGTCAATGTAACATGTGTTTAATCGTAAATGATTAACCTTGTGTATGATGCTTGTAATCATATATGATATTGAAACTTCTTGCCTTCTCGCAAAATGTTTTAACATTTCGTTTGAACCTGCCCATATATATAGAGGATGGATCATTCGAGAATTTAAACATTTTGCGAGAAAGCGAGAAGTTTCAATGTCATATATGACTACAATTATTTGGGCTTGTTTAATCATATATGGTTAAGAGTCTGTGTTGTCAATGCGACATGGGTTTAATCATATATGATGTAAGCTTGTGTATCATGTGTGTAATCATATATGATATTGAAACTTCTTGCCTTCTCGCAAAAATGTTTAGCTTCTTGTTTGAACCTGCCCCTGTTATGTATGTGTATGTACTCATTTGAAGGAATCACATCTATGAATTGTGCCTTGAGCTTTCAAGATTTCGTAGCAATAGACTGCAAGTATTAGGTTCCATGCGAGATTTAAAGGGTAGAACACCAATCTCCACATAATTTACATGGAAGTAAGTGATTGTGTGTAGCTTGTTGAAGCCTCAAATCTGGTAACTATCTTATGAAAGGTTGATAGATTCTTCAGAATCGTCGATTGAATCGTTTGTAGATGAGATTTTGATCAAGAATCAGTTTATACCAGTTGTTGTCACCATCACCACCAAAGTTTGTAGATGAAAGCTATCTGGTCGGTCAATGTGGCGTTGTGATTGATTCAAGACTGTCTTGTAGAACCAATAGTAATACCGTATATCTAGAACTATGGTATTGCAGAGCAATTGGATGCTGCAAAAGGGGAAGTGAAATATGATTACTTTAAATTTTAAGTTCCAACCCTCGGACTACCTCTCAATCCTTCTTAAGTTCCAGCATTGGCCCAACGGTACCCGGGTTACAGGTGGATCCCAACCTCCATGGAGGTCAAGGGTTCAAGCCTTGGGTGCAACTAGATCTGACCAAGGCTCCTTCCTGTTGTGAGAGTTGGAGAGGTTCGTATGTAGCCATTCCCTTATGTTTCACACATAGTTGTTAAAAGTGCGTCTGGCTCTATGGCCCATAAGGCTCTCAAGGTCTTGGACTTTTTTAAAGTCGAGGCTAGGCGTATTCACGAGGCTCACTGAGGCGTTGCACCTTGTGGGCTTAGGCGCGCCTCATAAAGAGTTGTTAAATACCTAGTCAAACCCTAATATTAAATAAGTTTTCTCATTTTCTCATCTCTCATTCCTGAGGCCCGTGCCTCGCACCTAGGCCCCAGGACCGTTGCGCCTAAGTGCGCCTTGACCCTTTAACAACTTTTTCACGGAAAGGCCTTCATCAGAAGATTTTTCTTAACAGTGTTCTAACTTTCGATCAGGAGAGACTTTTGTCAAAGATTTGTGTTGGTTTTTATTTCTTCAGGTCGAAAGAGATATTTTATGAACACACCCTTTAACTTCATCTCTTTGATGTCTGATTTTGTATGGGAAGAATAAATGCCATTTATGCGCCAGACTTCGAGCTGATTTATACATTTCATCATCCTACTTAACTGTGTTATTCTCATTATCAACTTGAGACGATTGGAAGAGTTTTAGGCCCAATGTTGAAATCAGCATTTGCTTTGCCATGAGGACTCTGAACTAACCAAGAAGATTCATCGACATCAATGTTTTTAGTCCTGTCTGCATACCAAACTCCCTTTCTGTTGTCTGAATGGGAGCTTGATGTGTTTAGGCTAGTTCTTTCCCTCTTAATTTTCATGGTTTATTTGCAGGAGATGAACGTCTCAGAACACCTGATACAAGCATCGGATGCATTACAAGAGATGAGTCATGGACTTTGGGAGGGCTGCCTGCGTTCCGATGTATACACCCCTGAAGTGTTAAGCTTAATGGAGCGGTTTCAGCCTGATTTCTGTGCACCTTCTGGTGAATCACTCAGACAGGTGGAATTCCGAATGCTTCAGTTTCTAAACGGAACCGTGGTGTGTTTGCCGGAAAAGCTGAGATCCGGGTTCTCACCTACAGGTGAAGAAGGCCTTACAAACTCCATTCAGTATCGTGATGGACCTCCATCACCACGATGGGATTTGCTCACAAAGCCCAAACAAGTGCTCGCAAGAAGGAAATCCGGCAAAAGCCGACTGCAAATGGTGACGACCACCGGAGATCACGAGGCTGATGACGAGATGTCTCCACGAGACCCTCCAAACCTGAACCATGTTGGAAGAAACAACAACAGCAGCAGCAGCAGCAGTAGCCATTGTTTCATTGCTTCTTCTTGTGTAGGTGTCTTCAGTCACTCGACGCCCATCAAATGTCTCCTGACAGGGGTCCTCGGTTGCAGCCCAGTGATGTCGAACAAGATTTGTGTCGAAGATTCATCGGTGACGGTGCTCCAACATTCGTGGAAAACGGGTTGGCAGATTAAAAGATTAAATGATACCTCCCACCTTAGGCTTATGTAGTAGTGGGATATGCATACGACCAATGGTAGGTGATTCTTTCAATTGTGTAGCATGAATTCAAGTATTTATTTATGATCGATGATTGTTGATTTCGTTTGGGTTGGATTTGGTTGCTTGTATACTCACTTTCACTTTTTGATTTGGAGGATACTTTTAATAACAACATTTTGGTTTTGGAATCTGTATCGGCAAATGGAACAGTTTTTTTTATATTTTATCCCATTAATTACTGCTTAACACCTCTTTCCAAACACCCCCTGAATCTTTTTTACTTCAATTACCCATCAAATCGTCTTCATCTTGATTTTATACTAGTTGTGTACCCGCGAAATGCGGCGGGAGCCATGAATTTTAACGATTTTGAAGTTCCACTGGTTTTATAAGATAAGATTTAACGATGATATAGGTTACACTTGGTTTTTACATATTAATACAATTTGAATAAATAAGACTATCGATGAAAAAAATTGTATGACAGTTTAAAATCCAATATATTTAAAATCCAATATATTTAAAATCCAACATATTTAAACGACTCCACAAATGTGTTCGATTTACACCAAGAGCAAAGAACAAAGAAACTTGAGTAGGGATGGCAACGGGGCGGGGTTTGCAATCCCCGGCCCCGGCCCCGGTTTATATAAATAGTCCCCGGCCCCGTCCCCGGTCAACTTTCGGTCAACTCCCGGTCAACACCCGTTTTAGCCCAATTATATATATCACTTATAAGCCCAAGTCCATAATAAATCTAAGCCCAATTATATATATCACTTATAAGCCCAAGTCCATAATAAATCTAAGCCCAATTATATATATCAATTATAAGCCCAAATAATAAAAATGTTTAATATTTATATATATACCGGGTACGGGGCGGGTCGGGGGATACAATACCCGGCCCCGGCCCCAACCCCGGTTTGCCTCTACCGGGGATCCGTTTTAGCGGGGAATCCCCGTTCCCGTCCGGGTCGGGTGAACTGGGTTCCCCACCGGATCGGGTCAAATCACCATCCCTAAACTTGAGTTTTAAGATAAACACTCAAAACCAATAAAGAAAACTACAAATTTGACATATCATAATCCATGAAAAGACAAAAAAAATTGAGTTTTAGAATGAGATTTCAACTGCTTACCCTCTTTATTGTCCAAAAACTCAGATTAAGGTTGAATTAATACATGTATACATATATTTCAAAAAAACCCAAGAACATATTAATTCAGAACATACTATACAGTGCAATTTGGACAGCCTAACCCCAAAATATATAGTATATATATATATATATATATATATATATAACTATAAAAATATAAATCGTAAATATTAAAAATATTTTTTCACAGTATATATAATAATATAATTAAGTCAAAAACTATTCAATATTGGACTTATTTCGAAGATATTAACGAGACCATTATAATGGTGTAACTTGTTAAAATAAAAATGCATTTTTTAAACATATTTTAATTGATATACGATTATGTATGTTAATTTGATAAATGTTTAAAATGAAACATTTAAAAGTAAAGGACGTAAAGTAAATTAATTAACTAATTATTGGAGTATAAAGTGTAAATTTAAAATTATAATTTTAAAAAAAATCGGTTGTGAGAGGGTGAGTGTATGTGAGGAGATGAGAGAGTGGAAAAGTAGTATAAAGGGTATCTTGATCATTTAGTAATTTAAGACTATAAGACTTTTACTAAATTTGCTTAATAAGATAGTATAGAGGAACACCATGCCACTTCTTGCAAATTAGACACCACCATTTGAATAAAGATCTTCAAACCCCAAATAACCCTGGGATCGACTGGTTTGATGTAGCGATTGAATAACGTTCGATACAATCGTCTTTCTGCCGTTGATAAAAGGATGCAAAATTGTTGGGGTTTTGAACACCACAAAAGTCCTAAAACAGCAAATAAAGTAATGAACTTTATTAAAATCAAGTATGTGATGTCAACCAACAACTAATACGGAAAACAAAGTAGTGTCGAAAAGCATGACAAACAATCAACCAAAGAATTGCAAAAACACACAAAAGACGAGATTTGTGTGGTTCCACATGAAAGAGGAGGAATTTTAAATTTTTATTGATGAAGAACATCCAAACACGAGAAATTACAAACTAAAACGCTAAATTGCGTATAATCTGAATCTCTCAATATTTTCTACTTAATTTTCTTCACGCATTGCCGAACCTCGTGCCCGAAGACCCAAATGTTTATGTGCATGAAATAGCACTACATCCGCCCGTGCTTATTACAAAACTGTGGTCGTATACAAAAAACAAAACTTAAGAAGCTGTTTGGCAATTGCTGAATGGTTTAATACAAAATGATTAAAAGACTATTATGATATAGTGCAAAATGAAATATAATTGTTTGATAATTGTTTACAATGAATTATGTTAATGAATGGTTAAGAGAGACTCATGATACAAAATCATTCAGACGGTTTTAGAATTATTAATAGACAAACCTTTTTTTTTATGAAACAAAATTTATCTCTTAACAATTCAGAGACTATCTCTTATTAAAACTATTAAAAGGTAAACAACAACCGTTATACAAAGTAACATGACACCCATCCATGATTATAAGGTATGGCCATGCCATGACAGAAAGCCCAGAACTTTCTATTTTGCATATCCATATTTGAATAATCTGTCATAGTTGTACAAGAAACCAACGACCAAAAGGAAAACTGGGAAATGAATGAAGATTTCTAGAGCAGCTGCAGTCGCTGCTTCTTCTTCTGAGCTCACCATCAATCACTTCTCGCGTAGTAATACGAACCTCACAACTTTCTTCAACAAATACGTAGACGCCACCAATGTCTGGTCATGGAATTCGGTCATTGCTGACCTTGCTCGCGCTGGTGATTCTGTCGAGTCCCTTCTCGCCTTCTCGGCCATGCGGAAGCTTTCTCTTACCCCAAATCGTTCTACTTTCCCTTGTACGATCAAATCCTGCTCCGCCCTATTTGATCTTCAATCTGGCAAGCAGACCCACCTACAAGCTCTTATCTTTGGGTTTCACCACGATCTTTTCGTCTCATCCGCTCTCATTGACATGTACTCCAAATGTGGTCACTTGGATGATGCCCACAACCTGTTCGATGAATCGCCTCTACGAAATGTCTTTTCTTGGACTTCAATGATCTCTGGGTATGTTCAAAACGGACGTCCCCATGAAGCTTTATCCCTTTTTAAAGACTTCCTAACTGAAGAGAGCTTGACTGAAAACGAAGTGTGTGTCGATTCAGTTGCTATGGTTTCTGTTCTTGCTGCTTGTTCTAGTACTTCATGTAAGAGCATTACAGAAGGGGTTCATGGGGTGGTTGTTAAAAAGGGGTTTGCAGAAAACACATCAATTGGGAATACTCTAGTGGATGCTTATGCCAAATGTGGTCAAGTAGGTGTCTCTAGGAAGGCCTTTGATGAGATAAATGACAAAGATGTAACAACTTGGAATTCAATGATTGCAGTTTCTGCTCAAAATGGATTGTCTACAGAAGCAATTGAACTGTTTTATTCCATGGTAAGAGATGCAGGTGTTAACTATAATGCCGTGACTTTGTCTGCCGTTCTGCTGGCTTGTGCTCATTCTGGTGCTCTGCAATTTGGGAAATGCGTACATGATCAGGTACTTAGAACGTAGTGTTCAAAGCATATATGATAGATAAAACTACACGATTTGGTTGATTTTTAATTAAGTCCTGTATTGATAAAGCGGTTAGTGTGGATTGATTTGTTTGTATAGATTAGGGAAGTGTTTGTTGGGAGGGTTTTTTGCCGGATGGAAGAAGCGTGTTTTTAGGAGGCCCAAGTTTGGAAAAACTTGGCTTTCTGTACCCCTAGAAGCTTACTTAATAAGCCACTTTCTATATCATTAAGCCACTACCAAACCATACAATCATGGATAGTTGACCAAATAAGGGCATGTTTGTTAGCAGCTTAATAAGCTTAATGGAACTCATATCTTATTCGGTAGCTATACATGACTGTTTGGTAGTGGCTTAATGATATGGTGACTTATTCAGTAATCTTCTAAGAGGAAGCTTTATGCAGAAAGCCAAGTTTTTTCCAAACTTGTTCCTTCTAATTAAAAACACACTCCTTCCATATATGAAAAAACCCTTACAAACAAATACCTTCCAAATCTATATAGACCGAATAATCCATACAGGACTTAATAGAAAACCAACCAAACATCCTTTAAGTTGTAGTCCGATTAAGCTCATTAAGCTGCTATCGCCCAATTGTTATCTGATAAGCTAGTCATGTTTAGTAAAACCGGATGACAATGCAAAATGACCTAAAGGGATATGTTGAAAAATGATCTAGAAAGAGAAGATTTCTTGAGTTGTTCCCTTTTAACTTTAGATTAATAAAGCAACTATGTGTAGATTTAAATAATCATATGTTTTTCCTTTTCTTTTCTGTATAGGTTATAAAGATGGGTCTGGAGGAGGATGTAGTTGTAGGTACATCAGTTGTGGACATGTACTGCAAGTGTGGGAGAGTAGCGACCGCAAGAAGAACCTTTGATCGCATAAAAAAGAAGAACGTGAGGTCATGGACCGCCATGGTTGCTGGCTACGGCATGCATGGTTACGCCAAAGAAGCTCTAGATGTCTTTTATGAGATGATCCGGGTTGGAATGGTCCCAAATTACATAACATTTGTGTCAGTCCTGTCAGCCTGCAGCCATGCTGGTATGGTTGATGAAGGATGGCACTGGTTCCAAACCATGGAACACAAATATTCCGTAGAACCAGGCGTGGAGCACTATAGTTGCATGGTCGATCTTTTTGGCCGAGCAGGTTTCCTTAACAGGGCTTATAATCTAATCAAGAAAATGAAAGTTAGACCTGATTTTGTGGTCTGGGGTTCTCTTCTTGCTGCATGTAGAATGCACAAAAACGTGGAGCTCGGAGAGATCTCTGCAAGAAAACTTTTTGAGCTTGACCCAAGAAACTGCGGATATTATGTTCTACTTTCCAACATTTATGCTGATGCGGGAAGGTGGGAAGACGTAGAAAAGATGCGAATATATATGAAAAAACATGGATTGGTTAAAACACCCGGATTTAGTTTGGTTGAATTAAAAGGTAGGGTGCATTTATTTCTGGTTGGGGATAAAGAGCATCCTGATCATGAGGAAATCTATTTGTATTTGGAAGAAATATCTTTGAAGATACAAGAAGCTGGATATATACCCAATATGGCATCAGTTCTACATGATATTGATAAAGAAGAGAAGGAAATGACATTAAGAATTCATAGTGAGAAACTGGCTGTTGCCTATGGGATTATGAACTCTGTTCCTGGCTCAACCATTCAGGTGATCAAGAATCTGAGAATTTGTGGTGATTGCCATGAAACCATCAAATTGATATCGAAGATTGTGAATCGAGAAATTGTGGTTAGAGATTCGAAGCGGTTTCATCATTTTAGTGAAGGTTTGTGTTCTTGTGGGGATTACTGGTGAAGAAGGAAGGCTTTGGAACTTTTGCTGATGGTAGTTTCTTGGCCTACTTGTGGTTTAGCAGATAATTGGTTAGATTTATCCTATTGTAGCTTCTTTTTGTCTAAAAATATTGAGAATTCTAAATATTTACATCAAGAGGAATATATGTTGAGGTTTTTGCTTCCCCCATGATGGATGCAAGATCATGTATTTCATTTGTTTTTGTGAAGATATATAAAACCCTTTTGAATCTCATTTTGAAAGTGCTCTTATATATAAAAAAGGAGGTTCTTTTATATATATATGTATAGGTTTGATGGACTGTGTCTAGCTGATGTGCTATTCAAACACGTCCCTCTGAAACATAGGTTGGAACCCCCCAAGAATGGAGGTGAAAGAGTGTGTCGAGTCCTGGGTGTTTGATGCCAGCTCCGATACCGAATTCAAACTAAACTGCATACAATGATGGAAAAATTAAAATAAACAAACTAGAGGACAAAATCAAGAAAATCGACAAACCACAGGGACCAAAAATGTATTTACTCTTAAGTTTGTGTGTCATTTGTGAAAACTCTAAACAATGATTACATATTTTACATTTAGAACCATTTTAAATATGTAATCTAAAATTGACCCCTTAACTATGATTATAATAATTAAAACCCTAAATCCAGTTTAATATTTGAAGTACATTCCTGTAGGTTCCAGCTACTGTTGATAGTGATATCGGTGTATTTGCTTCAAGGGTAAATTTCATAAAATGAAACCAACTTTACTTTTATTTTTTATTTACGATGATCATGAAACAAAAGGTTTGCGTTTATCTGAAGTGGACTCTAACACGTTCTCTCCCGTAGAGACTAGAAAGACACATATTATTCTAGAGTGTGGAGGGGAGACTATACGACTAACGATTGCCCTTGAGTATAAAGTCTCTAAAGTGGTAGACCTTAACTCTGATATCTTTTGAGAGTATATGAAACATTATTGATTACTCCCCAAAAGAACTTTTAACGAGATAAATGAGGTTTCAAAGTATGTAGAAGAGAATGGTCAAGTCTAGCTGATGTAAGACTCTAATAGGGAAACAAATTGGTTTTGCATTTTTTATATGACACGAACTGACAAAGATTTCATCAAAATTTCAAATGTATTAAATTTTTTAATAGATATGAAGCTAATTAATATTTTGGAAACTTAAACTATTATTACACAACCTTTTAAGGGTTGCAATTGCATTTTTTTTACTAACCAAGGACTTTAATCGTCTAACTTTCATATTAAAAGTCTTAATTGTTATTAGACATTATATGAAGGACCAAAATGTAAGTTTTAGTATTATATATATGATTGGTTAGATTCCAAACCCTAAAATCATATATTTGATTGGGGAAAAATCTAGGGTTTTGAAGAAAAGTGCTCCAAGGAGGTTTCAATCAAGGAAGGTCTTGAAGATCAACATTGGTTACATATATTAAAGGTACAAATTATTCTTTCTTCGATTTCGATCTCGATCTAGATTCGTATGTGTTTTCGAATTATTTCGTACACAGTTTGTTGAGTTTTATATGGTATGCGTATAAAATTTTGTAAAGTTAACAACTTTGTAGAATTCCAAGCATTCACAACTCTCGAGTTGGTATCTTTTTTTGAAGTATGTGATATTATATGGCAAAACTTACGTTTTTCATCTTTGGTGAGGTTTGAACTCTTGATTTTTAAGAAGATTGAAATTTGCTGATAACTTGAAAATCGATAAATCGTTAACCATTTGTTTCATGTAGGTATGTTATTGTTTAGAGGATTCGTTGATTCTAAACTTTTTGAGTGCCCTAAATTTTGCATCATTTTCAACATTTCTGTTACTAAATGGAATTAGACATCAATGCTTATAAAATTTTATATAAAACGATCGTAAAATCCGATTTGTATCGTTCTTGAGTTTTTAAAATCATAGAAGATGCATCTACTCGATCAATCTTGATCTGAATCCCTAATTGTAAGGATATCTCTACCAAATTCGCTATAATAAATGAAATACAAATTATGAAGTTTTGTAAAGATTTATAAGAGAAATTGAGTTTCAACCATTACAAACTTATCTAATGAAAGGTGAACGAAGCAATGAGAAATAATGTAGCATGTGGTTGGAGCAATCTAAAAAAAATATGACAACATTATGTGTTGATATATATATATATATATATATATATATAGAGAGAGAGAGAGAGAGAGAGAGAGAGAGGAGCGATCAATTACAAATCACCCTCATATGTGAAAACTCTACAAACCAATTTCATTCATCCATTTTCTTGATCAATGGTCAAAATTAAATAGTGTTATATTAGAAAATTAAAAAAAATATTTTTTAATTAAAAAATGGCAAAATCGGCAAATCACTCGTATGAAATTGTTTCACTGTATTAAAATTGTATTTCATCACTGTCTTATTCACTGTATGCAACTGTTTCACTGAATAAAACTGTATTTCACTGTATTTCATCGCTGTATGCAACTATTTCACTTTATGAAAAACATTATTTCATCACTGTATTAATTTGTATTTGTTAACTAGATGAACATGTATTTTCTCTACTATATGAATCTGTTTCACAATATTTATTCACATGTGTGAATTTGGTTCACTATATGAATCTGTTTCACAATATGAAATTGTATTAATTTGTCATCTTCATTTTATGCAACTATTTTACTGTTTCACTGTTTTATATTTAAAAATAATTGATTTACATCTTCCATATAAACGATTTCTATATTTATGTTTTTATATTTAAAAATAATTAAATCATTTTCAATATTATATTTAAAAACAATTGATTTACACCTTCTATATAAACAGTTTCTATATTTAAAAATAACTTAATTATTTCCAATATTAACTATTATACAATAAAATGACAATTATACCCTTACTTATTAAAATTAAAGAATAAAAAACGAAAATTTCCTATTGGTCGATTGTGGTTTGCATAGTTTTTATGGATCAGACAGCTTGTAATCTAACCCGCCTCTCTCTCTCTCTCTATCTATCTATATGTATGTATGTATGTATGTATGTATGTATGTATATATATATATATATATATATATGGAGGGGTTTAAACGTGAACACCCTTGTTTTACGAAAATGTTAGAACAATTTTGAGCCTACAAATTATTTAACTCATAATTAAAATTAAAAGAAAATAATTAAGAATAATCATTTGATTTAGTATTTATCTGTAACATTGGTGTTTTTTCTTATCTCTAAAATCATGTATAGATAATATGCTCACCGATTAATGTACCAAGTTATTATCGGATAAAAATCATATAATGAACAGAGTGATCATCACTTAATTAATTTTACCCCCCATAAAAGGAAATACATAACTCCCATTTAATAAAAATACGTGGTTACAATATTTAACTGAAACAATATATTTGATAACGATTCATATCATGATAACGTGGAAAGGTGATGGAGAGGAGAGATCATACAGGAGATATGAAGATTAGAGAGGTGAGAGAAAAAAATTGAGTGGAAGGAGATTTGAAAACCGGAATTGCTATATGCATTTATGTTTATATCATAATCAAGTTAAATCATGCATTGAAAATGTATAAAAAAATGAATATAACTTTGATATGTGTGAAAATGAAGTTAGTAGATAAGGGTGCATTTAGTAATATAGAGAGGTGCATTTAGTCCGTTCATTAAATAATAACCATAATGTCCCTATAGAATTGTTAATTACTAATTTAACCCCTTGAGTTAAATTTGTTTTGATTGAGATTCGATCTTACAAAATAATTGGTCATCCGTTGAATGCTCTAAAATTTAATGTGATTCACGGTTTTTTATTTTTTATTAGAAATATTTTATATATCCCATCACAAATAAAATATCTGAAATTAAAATATATATTAAATGAAAATATTTATGTTTATTTGTTGTAGTGATGATTTTTTCTTAATTGTTTGAATAATCAGTGTTTTTCTAATCTTAGTTTTATAATTTTTATTTTGTTGCTGTGTTAATTATTTGTAGTTTGATTATATGTTAATAGTTTCATGTTAACAGAATTTAATTTTCAATAATTTGCTCCCATATTTCAATTCTCAACCCAAAAATATGTGGATTTTTTTTATTTACTTTCTTTTAAGCTTGAGATTTTGTAACCTAATTTTTTTATATGAATATAATAGTTTTTAAATAAGTATAAATATTTTTTATTAATATATATATATATATATTATTTTAAGAAATTTGATTTGTGATTTTAATAATAAAATATTTAAAAAAACGAGTATCACATTAAATTTTAGAGCATATTACATTTTTGGCTCTATAGTTTGTTTAAAAACCGATTAATTCTTCATAAAGGTTGTTAATTAACGTCGTTAAGTGGATGAACTATGGGGGTTATAAAAATGAAAAGTTATGGACCATTAATGTAAATAGTTTGTTGTAGGAAGCAAATAAAAAAAACCACATGGACCACCAACGTAATTTACTCTAAGATAAGATTAAGAAGTTCTAAAAAGTTAACCCATTCGTTGCGGAATGATAACATCAGATTTCAAAAAACTTCCAAAACTCAATGCATATTGTTCATAGAGGTAGCGTTTGGTTTGCATACAAGACTGAAGAGGACAAAACATGACGAAACTGGACTGGACAAGAGAGTAGGACTGGATTGAACAAATGTATGTCTGGTGTTTGGTACGACTACAACTGGACGGGACAAAACTTTTCTAGTTCTTTGATGATTCTAAATATTATATAATAGTTATAATTAACACAAATAAAGTAAATAATTAAAGATTTAATTCATAAATATTTTTACACAATTTTCATGTAAATTAATACATATATATAATGGTACTAAATTTGAATGAAAATTTTGATATAATTGATGGTGGTAGTAGTGGTGGTGGTGGTGGTCGATGGTAGTAGTGGCGATGCACGGTAGTGGTCGATGGCCAACAATAGTTATGGAGGTAGAGGTAGTGGTGGTTGGTGGATGACGGTGGTTTATAGAGAACGTGAAGATGGTGGATTTTGGTGGTGGTGGTGGTGGTGGTGGTGGTGGCGGCTGTCAATTGTGGAGGATGTAGTTGTGTCTGATGTAGTGAAGATAGCGTTGGTGGTGATTATGATGGAAGTGAGGTGGTAATGGACGATGGTGGTTGATGGTTGACGATGATTGTGGAGGTCGTTGAGGAGGTTATTGCAGTAGAGGAAGAGTTGGAGGTGACCAATGGTGGTTGTAGACGTGGCAATGGACAGTGTTCACGGTGGTTGTGGAGGCCATGGAGGAGGTTGTTGTGATATAGGAGTTGAAGGTGGCCAATGGTGGTAGTGTTGGTGGTAATAGGTGGTGGTGGTCGGTGGGCAATGGTGGTTATAAAGGTGGTAATAGACGATGGTAGTTGGTGGTCGACAGTGGTTGTGGAGGTGGTGGAGGAGGTTGTTGTAGTAGAGCAAGAGTTGGAGGTGGCGAACGTGAGTAGTGGTGGTGGCAATGGACGGTGATGGTCGGTGATCGACTATAGTAGAGATTGCGATGGATGATCATGGACGGTGGTTGTGAAGGCAGTGTGAGATGTTGTTATAGTGGAAGAGGAGGTGAACATGACACCGGTGGTGGCGGCGGCTGAAACTAGCGGTGATGATCATTAAAATAAGGACCATATTAAGACTATACAACGCTTAGTGAAAATAATGTTTTTTTTATACACATAGGATATAAATTCTATATGAACCAATGGATCATGACAAGTTGTTACTACTAGCAATGGCTTCCTCTTTTTCAAACTAGGGTAGATTAGTAATACTTTTGTTTCTATCTCATTTTTTCCCCATCTTGTTCCACTTATTTTGGTGGAACAAGAAAAACTTTTTTTGTCTCATGATGTCCCATCTTGTCACAATTATTGTCCTTGTCTTATGTCACGCCAAATGTGAGACAATGAATTCTTTGATGATTCTAAATATTATATAATAGTTATAATTAACACAAATAAAGTAAATAATTAAATAATTCAATTTGTAATTTTTTTTTACAAATTTCATATAAATGAATACATACATACATATATAATGATACAAATTTTGAATGAAAATTTTGATATAATTGATGGTGGTGGTAGTGGTGGTGGAGGAGGTGGTGGTTGACGGTAGTAGTGGCGATGCGTGGTGGTGGTCGATGGTCGACGGTGGTTGTGGGGAGATTGTTGTAATAGAAGAAGAGTTGAAGGTGGCCAACAGTGGTGGTGGTGGTGTCGGTAGTTGTAGAGGTGGCAATATACAGTTTTCTTCGGTGGTTGTGGAGACCATGGAGGAGGTTGTTGTGGTATAGGAGTTGAAGATGGCCAATGGTGGTAGTGTTGGTGGTAATGGGTGGTGGTGGTCAGTGGCTGATGTTGGTTGTAAAGGTGGCAATAGGCGATGGTAGTTGGTAGTCGACGGTGGTTGTGGATGTGGTGATAGAGGTTGTTGTAATAGAGGAAGAGTTGGAGGTGCCGAACGACAACAATGGTGGTGGCAATGGACGGTGATCGTCAGTGGTCAACTATAGTAGAGGTGACAATGGATGACGGTGGTTGTGGAGGCGGTGGGGTATGTTGTTCTAGTGGAAGAGGAGGTGGAGATGACCACCAATAATAGTGACGGCTGAAACTAACGGTGATGATCATTAAAATAAATATCATATTAAGGTTATATATCAAACCATGGTAGATTAGTAATACTTTTGTTTGTGTCTCATTTTTGTCCCATTTTGTTCCACCTATTTTGGTGGATTAAGAAAAAGCCTATTTTGTCCCATGCTGTCCATTTTGTCGCAATTTTTGTCCTTGTCATATGTCACATCAAACGTGAGACAAAGAGTTCTTGTTCTGTCCCATGCTGTGCCAAACGTGAGACAATAAGTTTTGTCCAATTCTGTCCTGTCCCATGTACCAAACGTAAAAAAAAAAACAAAAACAAAATATGAATATTTAAAAAATTGAAAGATTCTATATGTATCATTAATTATATTTAATACTTTAATAGTTATATATTTAAAAAATATTAATTTTTAAGAACAAAACTCAAAATGTAATATAATACAAATAAGTTGGGTGAAATAAGGGAAAAAGGAAAGTAAAGGGCCTCAAAATGAAATAACACAAAGTCTGGGGGCCAAATTGAACAAGAATGGATTTCGCCGTTTTCCGTCTCTGTTTGCATAATTGCATTGCATAGCCTTGCCAGCATGCAGAGATAGCGAGTGGAACGCAACCGCAGTCTCCTGCGTGAGGTTCGATCTTCTCCTTCACAAATGCAGCGAAGAAGATCGTTCATTCCCTCCCTCCCTCTCTCTCTCTCTCTCTCTCTCTCTCTCTCTCTTGACTCTGTTTCTTTGATTGTTTGCCGTCTGCCATAAACCCTTTCTTCACAAACCCTTTGTTTTGCGTTGCAGTCGGTTACGCATTGTGCTTATTTGGTAATTCTTTCATTTTTATTCGCAAAAGGAATTTCGTAAGGCGAACTCTGTGTATTTAGGGTATTTCCATGTACAACCCTCTCTTGTTAAGCTTATTTAATTTGGACTTCATGACTCTTGAGTGTTTACCAGGTCAATGCGCTTATGGTGCCAATGGTTTATTCAGCCGTTTGTTTGTTGATTGCACTTGCCAAATGCTATCGATTTTTCCATCTTTTTATCGATTCTGACTAATTTATTATCGGTTCTATGATATATACCAATCTAGGGTAGAATCGATGAGTATATGTGTGTGTGTGTGTGTATATGCATAATGCGTACATGATTCATATATTCGTTCTATTCTTCTTGTACATGAATCTGAAGTATGTTTATGATCCTTCTTTCCGCTAGAATAATTGCTACATTCGACTTTATGCATTAGCTAAAGCTTTGATTGACTCCACATTGAAATTAAAATAATTTTGTGGAGTAAGATGCTAATTGCAATGTCTTTTGTGGTGATATGTTGACCATTTTACATAGGGGAAAATACAAAATTGATGTAATTCTTGTTGGACGTCGAAAAAGCAAAATGTTGCAACCCTTATAGGATCATGGAGTATAGAGACTAGAATGTGGAGGGCCTAGATAGGACGATCCGCTTACAAGTTGAATGTGATTTTCTGGTTACTACAATTTTCTTTATACATAACTCATGTGATTATTCCTTTATTCCATCGTTTTACCATTTTTAGAATATGGGCTTGTATGTTCCATGTTGTCTTCTCACTTATTTGTCTGAATGTCATCCTATGGAATACAGGAGCTGATTTGGCATTTTAAGATTGAGACAATATTAATCTCCTCTGACCTTACTCCGTGTGGAATTTACTGGCTTTGTTTGGTTTGATTTGGTTTTAGAGAACATTTTAAAACCGAAGTTGTACATGGCAACTCGTCAAAGAGCTTCAAAGACATCTGATCTGAGAGCTCCGAATGCAAATGATTCAAAAGTTTCAAAGGCCGTTAGTGCCATGCAGGGTTTGGGGGTCTCTCCTGAAGTTGTCAAACCAGTTCTCCGCCGTCTTCTGAAATTGTATGGGAGCTGGGAGCATATTGAGGAAGATAACTATCGGGCTCTTGCAGATGATATATTTCAATCCTTTGAAGACAAGGTATACCCTTTATTATGCACCAAAATATCATTTTCACTCCCTACTCTAATGTACTTTTGCTTTTGTTTCTTCACCATATCAGTATAACTGATTCTGGTTGCTTAGATTGTAGAAATCACATTCTTATATTTGAAACACAAGCATTTTGAGAAGTAAAAAAAATGCACCAGAACAGCAATTGATACTACTATGAAGCTTCCTTACTACATAGATTATGCATTTTTACTAAGAAATACAGTTGTATGTAATAGGAAAGCAAGAGAAAATTACAAGGATAAGGACACCTATCATCATGATAGGATATGTTTATTCTATTTTTATATAATACTACATATATGAAGGCGAGGACAGATCTCTGTAAGTCACCCCTCTCCCCACCTGGGCGATCCTGTTTTTGAGTGGGATTCATGGGGTCAGTTGGGTCTGGTTTGATTTACATATATGAAGGTGAAGGATGAGTGTTTTCTTATCGTTACTTCATCTCCTCTTTTCTCGTATTTCGTCAACCTGCCACTATTATTTCTTTCTAACTGTTTGCTCACACAATCGGGGTCTCCATGGAAACAACCACTTTACTCTTTTTGGGGTAGAGGTCAGGTCTTCATATATCTCAACCTCCCCAACCCCAAAGAATCTTCTTTCATGGCGAGGAATGAGTGTTTCATTACCATTTCTTTGTTTCTTTGTACCTACATTTCTTTTATTGTTTATTTTCACTAGTCCTAGTTCTTCTTACCTATTTTTCTTCACAAGCCTTTGTCTTCAAGGAAACCGTTGCTCTACCCTGTAGGTTAGAGGATAGATCTTTGTACATCCCACCCTTGACCTTACCCATTGCATGTTTCTATTGGGGGGGGGGGCTTGGTTCCCTTTAAGGGGAGGGGGAGGGGGAGGGGAAGGGGAACGGGTATGATAAGGATTGAGAATGCCATTCCCCACAATTTTCTAGGGTATGGATGATTAACCACTTTTAAGTAATCACTCATTGCATTATAGTGAACCAAGCACTATTATTCATTCCCATTCCTCATCCCTAATACCCCCAACCAAACACCGCTGAATCTCCATCGCTCTCCTATCACTTACTCCTATCAGCATCACAATCAAATTACTTGTTCTCCCTCACTCTTGCATTCTCATTATTTTCATAAACCACTTCAATATACTCTATTGGAATTTTTAAGATATATATATATATATATATATATATTGTTATTATGAGCATTTCTGCAATTGAAGATTTGTGGAGATTCTTTGCCGCACAAAAGATAATTTGATAAGTAATGCAAATGGAATGGACGTAGCATGGTTGGGACAGAGGACATGCATCTTCTCTGAGGGGAGCATAATTATTATTCCAGTCTATCATTTAGACTATTTTCAATTCATCTCCTTGCTTAAAAATTTTCTTCTAGTGTTATAATTTATTGATGTTAATTTCCATGTTAAAGCAAGTATCATTGTCTTCACTGGTTTCCGTAGGTTGTCACAACATTATGAAATCTAAGAACTTACCCCTGCCACCCATATTATGCAATTTGGGCAGTTTCAGTGATGTGATAAATAGCTACAGTAAAAGAGGACGAGTCTCTGATGCATATATGGTTTGCTATGCTCTGAAATTTACAGATTTCAACTCCACTCTATATACTTCTAGTGAAACTCCCATGAATATTTTTCTGGGTTATCCATGCATGCTTTGTCAAAGATTGCAGAATTCAAATCTGGTGCAGAATGACCCTTTCATCTTGCTTGACCTTTAAGTTAGCGAATAATAGATAGACAATGGTTGTGCTATAATTTTCATGACATACTCCCATTTGTTACATATACTTGGTCATTGAATCTAATAATTGGTTTTGCTATAGTTTCATGCAATCTGAAGGGATGTTTTCTCTCTGAATGTCAGGAATCACAGAGTAAACAGAAGAGCAAAGCTGCTATGGTGCATAATGAGCAAGACCCTCCACCTAAAAGTTCTCATTCAGGAAAGTCTGAAGATCAGGCTTTATCTACAAAGGAGAATGGCCAAAGAAACCAGAAAATGGAAGCTGATACTGATTCTAATCAGACAAAACATAAGTCCGGTGCTGAAGGCTCCATGCCCTCAAACATGAAGTATGTGGATGCAAGATTAGCCTCTCAGCGAGCATCATCTTCATCGGAACGTGAGCCTGCAACTGGTGGAACACATGTTACTGCTACACAAAAGAAAAAACGGCAAAATAGAGAACCTGCTGAAGACATAAAGCCTACAGCCAAATTAATACGCCCAGTCGTACAACATGGTCATTCTAATTCACATGGTCCAACTACTGTTCAGCAGCAGCAGAATGCTACGCATAAGAAGTCAATCCACAATATCAAGGACATAACGAGAGGTACAGAGAAAATGAAAATTTCGTTGATAGATGAAGTTGGCATAGAACTGCCAAAATTTGTCTACATACCACAAAATACGCCTTACCAGGATGCATATGTACATTTCTCATTAGCAAGAATTGCGGATGACGGTTGCTGTAAAAGGTGTATTGGTGATTGTCTTTCTTCTCGAGTACCTTGTGCTTGTTCTCGTGATACAGGGGGAGAGTTTGCCTATACTCCACAAGGCCTGCTGAAAGATGAGTTTTTAGGAGCTTGTATTTCCATGAATTGTGAACCACAGAACCACCACCTTTTTGAATGTCAAGATTGCCCATTGGAGAGGGCCAAGAATGTGCAGAATCCTGAACCATGCAAGGGTCACCTAGTGAGGAAGTTTATAAAAGAATGCTGGAGAAAATGTGGTTGCACTATGGAATGTGGGAATCGTGTGGTACAAAGAGGTCCTACTTGCAAGTTGCAGGTATGCCAATCAGTTAATTTTATAGTCTAAAGTGTCCAACATTATTAGAAAAGAGTTTGTTTGCTATAGTATTTGCCTTTGACCAAAGTTATGCCCATCTCAAGAGGTTTTAATATATTTATCCTTGTGAGAACACACCATTCTTAATAGCTTGTCATTTAATTGGATGTCATAGTTTTTTCTTTTTAAATTTGTGTTGTATGATAAATATCGACTTTATGTATTGGAAGTTAGTTCTGCGCCTATAAGTATAAGCTATATTTCAGGTTTTCTCAACGGAGGGTAAAGGTTGGGGTCTTCGCACACTTGAATACTTGCCGAAAGGTTCCTTTGTATGTGAGTATGTTGGAGAAATATTGACAAACATGGAATTATATGAACGGAACAAGCAAAGTCGGAAAAATGAGAGGCATACATATCCGGTGTACCTGGATGCAGATTGGGGTTCTGAACAAGTACTAAAGGATGAAGACGCTTTGTGCCTAGATGCAACCAATTTTGGGAATGTTGGAAGGTTTATAAATCACAGGTAAGTAAATGTATAAAATTATCTCTCTGGCGACAGCTTTTTTACTGGAATTTTCGTAGCACCTCGGTTACCAAGATACGGATCGAATCTTTCCTTAAAAATGGTCAAGTTCAAAGTTTAAATGCATTATGCATCTCTTTGATTTTGAAAAGTGAGAGTTCATTATGCTGTTTGAGGCAGTCAGACTTTTTTCAGCTTCTTGAAAGTAACTTGTTTGATTCTATTTATATGAATCTAGATGCTTTGATTCAAATTTGATCGAGATCCCGGTTGAAGTGGAAACACCTGATCATCACTACTACCATGTATGTATGGGTTTTCTATATTATTATTTAGAGTTTATAAACGTGAAATTGTGAAACACTCAATTATGGGGAAAAGTATGTTCAAATATCTTTTTGGGTTTTATGCAGATTGCTTTTTTCACTAAAAGGAATGTTGATGCATACGAAGAGTTGACATGGGTATGTGCAACACTCTTTTTATATGGTTTCACACATGTCTTAAAAGTTAAAAGTATTAGGAGGCGTTTGGTTTGCATAATGGAATTTGGTGGAATTGGAATTCATCAAAGGAATTTGACGTTGAAGGAATTGGAATGAGATTTGGCCATGCGTTTAGTTAGTAGGAATTGGAATGAAATCTCTCAAAAGAATTGAAATCTCCATCAGTGGCATGATGACATTGGAGGTCGGAGGTGGTGGCGGGGAGGGCAACACCCACCCCCACCCCACCCTACCCCCATCAGTGGCGGGTGGCGGGGGTGGCAGTTGCGATAAAGTTGATAGTGACATAGTAGTCATTGGTCAGTGGTGGGTTAGGCCTAGGGTAGGTGGGGTGGGGATGGGTGTCAGTTGTGACAACGACAGTAGTGGTGTGGTGGCAGGGGCGGGGGCGTGACAACGACGGTAGTAGCATGGTCCTAGTGGGGCCAGGGTTGGGCAGTGTTGGTTAAATTGGATGCAAAAGGGATAGAATTCAATTCCTTCACTTATGCCAAAGAATGATGAATTCATTAATTTGTGGAATTCAAAGGAACTTAAAGTATTCCATTCATTTCAAGAAATGAACCAGACAAAGGAATTGGAATTTGGTCAAAGAAATTTGATGGAATTGGCGAATTAAACGGCTCCCTTAGAGTTTGCGCCCATGATTTTGATTCATTAATATATGATTTACTTCCTTGTAGATGCTTGGAGTCATAAGCCCTTTGGCTTGCTTGGAGAATTCAACTTCATATAATTTGAAAGCAAATAACATGTACGGGGTTGTTTATTTACCTCTTAATAGTTTCATTAAGAGGCAGCCTCTGCATCATTAAGAGGTGAATCATGTTTGGCAAAAGAGAAGTCTGTCTCTTAGTGGTTTTAAAACCCTTTGCATGATTTTGTATGGGCCTCCCTTAACCATTCAGCTCCCTAATTTCATTGTAAACAATTATATTTCATTTTGCACTATATTATGAGAGCCTCTTAATCATTCTGCACCAAACCATTCAACAACTGCCAAACAGCCCCATAGTCTCTTTGATTTATCACTGGCCTGAAATGTGTATCTGATGTACTCTTATAAAGAACTTAGCAGAATTCTTACAATTGCATATGATTTCCACCAACAAAATTGATGAATACAAGAAGGTATAAACAGCATTCGAGAGACTGGGCTCTCCTAAGGCTCACGCCAATTTAATCACAAGGCAGAATGCTTTCCCCCCTCATACAAACCTAAAACTGCTCCCATTCTACCCCTTTACTCCTAGCCAACATAACTAATAGCAACTCCTAGCGTATAACAGTCACTCTATTCCAATTATGAAACTTCTTGTCTGGAGCAATGTAACTTCTGTTTTTGCATGCATGTCATTAGTAATGTTTTCGATGATCTTTGGAATTCATGGTTTCTTAATTGTGAAACTTAAAAACCCTACAAGAAATCCTTTCCTGAATCACCATATGGCATGTGTCTCCAATACATCCAGTGATTACTCTAGGTTCATTTTGTAACATGTTTGAGTTGCAATAAATACATGAGCTAGCCTCATGCAATTTCTGTGATACTTACACTGTCTAAACACATGCTGATCTTTAAACACATGTATATAGATACGCACACACACATATACATATATCTATATTATAGGGAGGCTAATCATGTGAGAAAAATGTTGCAAACACGTGAGAATCAATGTATTGTTCACATGATTCTTTTCATCTATGGCTGTGATTTAAAGTATCGTTTCACATATTTGTTTTTGCAATGAATTTGTTTCACAATGTGAAACTCTTTATGCATGTGTGTAGACGAGAACAATACCATATTATGAGAGCACGACAACATCTTAATCAGGCAACCATCACATGTGATTGTTATGCACTGACCCAAGCCCAAACCCAAGCCCAAGCCCAAGCCCAAGCCCAAGCCCATTAATATGATGCATATTTTAGAAGGGTTGGTTTTGGCATCGAAACTGTAAAGGCTGGTAATAAATAGGAGTCAGGTGGGAGAGTGGAGGTATCCAGAAAAATAGAAGAGTTGATACCAATTTGTTATGAACGGGATTGATTGAACAATGAAATAATAAGATAGATTGATTAAAACAACTATGGCTTCTTCAGGTAGCAAGAACAAAAGGGTTTTCTGGATATTAGAGAGGCCAGAACTCTCCTAAAAACACTACTATTTTTCTCGTTACTCCACTCTCCCACCTCACTTCAATTTACTAACAGCCATAACAGACTCGATACCAAAACTAACCCTTCTAGAATATGCATCCTATTAATGGGCTTGGACTTGGGTCAGTGCATAATATCGACAAACTAGTGATATACACATGACGGACATGGGCAACCTTGGTCACAACCTAGGTCGCAAGCCAAGTCGCGCTCACACTATTTCATCCGTATACAACGTTCTTGCGTTTTTGTAAATTGAAGGTGTTCTTGTTTGAACCTCCACCTATATATATACATGTGTGTATATGGCGGCTAATTATGTGAACCACAAAAATGTTACAAACCCGTGAGAATCAATGTATTGTTTCACATATTTTTTTTTCTAAGGCTGGGATTTAAGGTATTGTTTGACATATACTTGTTTCGTTATGTATTTGTTTCACAAGGTGAAACTTTTTACGTACGCGTGTGTGTGTGTATAGTGGTTAACCAATCTCAATGTATTGTTTTACATTATATATTTTCCCTTAAGGTATTGTTTACATATCTTTGTTTCACAATGGGAAAGCGATTCACATTTTAAAGAGTTGCATAACTGGTGTGTATTCCAGGATTATGGCATTGACTTTGAGGATGAAGATCACCCCATCAAAGCATTTGAATGTCAGTGTGCAAGTTCATACTGCAGAGACGTGAGAAGAGAAGGTTGGTGCATCAAATATCACTGCTCTACATTTTTCTTTCTATTAAAGAAAACCCAACAGTGATTACATATTATTGTGCAGCAGCAGCAGGAACCAAGGAGAAAGAGTTGAAGATGAAGAGGTCTGCATCTGGCAATGTCTGATATGAATGATTGGAGCCTTGTTTGTTGTTGCTGGTATATGATTGGATAGAGAAGTTTGAACATGACCAGTTTTTCATTTCTTGCACAAAAGTTGCACTCATCTTTTTTTGACATCCTGCCAACATAATACCTTTTAACTTTTGTTGGTATTGGTTTTTTTGCCTAAATTTTAGGCTATGGCCATCATGTGATTACTAGGGTTGTACTTTAAACATGAGATTTGAACTAGGTTCAGCAGGCTATTTGAACATCTTGAATTAATTCAGCTGGAGCAAATAATCATGTTTGTTTTACATGCAAAATATATATATATATATATATATATATATATATATATAGATTTGGGATCATGTGAGACACAGATGAGACACGTTAGACATGATTTTTACACTTGAACCTTCACAGCAAAACACTGGGAATGTAACCTTCACAGTGTTTTTGCTATGAAGGTTCGGCTTTTTTTTTACCTTCACAACATTTTATTGTGAAGTTTCAAGTGTAAAAATCGTGACCCACATGTCTCATGAAAGCAGTCTTGTCTCACGTGAACCCAACCCCATATATATAGAGGATTGGGTTCCGTTGAAAAGATAAGTTGTGGTGCGAAATGTAATAAAAGATCTACACCCTGGTATCAATCCTAATTAAATGTCAACAATAATGAGGTACATGGAGATGCACCAGATCAATTCCCTTCTAAAGTGCAATTCATGGGTGGGTGGAGACTAAAAATGATCAAGGGGTTCAGATCTCTTCTTACACTTCTCACTATAACTTTCCATCTCACACGATCATTTACATACACACACATATATATATATACACACACACACACACCGGGGAGGGGGAGGGGGGGGGGGAAGAACACTTTCATATTAAGAATATGTGAGAACACTCTTCTATTATAGTCAATCACATATGATATTATATTCAATTACATGTGATAAGTATGTGATACTAAATTAGATAGACGGACGATATTTGGCATGACCTAGGTTGACATTCAAGTGACTTGTACCCCACTAGGCACCTTTATGTGTATTATCACATGTGATAAGTGTGTGCTTGATGTGATAATATAGTCCATCATATGTGATACAAAATTAGAGACACAACACACCACCATGCCCCCTCATGCGTTTTATCATATGTGATGAGGGTGTTACCACACACATTTTTGTAAAAGTAAAATATAGGTTTTTTCATTTGAATCCTCACCCCTCTCTCTCTCTCTCTATATATATATATCTATATATATTGAGAGAGAGAGAGAGGCATTAATCAAATAAGAAATAAGAAAATGGTCGAATCACATGTGATTTTATACTAAAATCACGTGTAAAATCACATGTGATTCATGCGACTTTTACTAGAACGTGAGGTCATAGAGATAAGTAATCGAGGATTGAGGTCCCCGCCCCATTCCCATGTCTAGTTAGATAAAAGTATCAAGTGGCACTTCTCTAGTGTAAGGGGCTCTTTTGTTTCCCTCTTAATGGTGACATTAAGAGGGAGCCTCTTAATCGATAAGAGGCAGGAGCTGTTTGTCAAAAAAAAATCTTTTAATGGTGACAATATCCTCTTAACGGTTTTGTATTTAGGGTGCTCCTAAATAGTTCAGATGTAAGTTGTTCCATTTTTACCCTCCCACTTCTCCAGCTGGCTACTCATCCCACGCTCCTTCCTCCTCCCACTCGATCCCATCGCTCTCCCCGTCGTCTCATCCCATTTACAGACTCATCTCCCTCCTCCCCATCTTCTACCTTCACACCATCTTTCCCCTCCTCCTCTCATCTGCCTTCAGCATCGTCGTCGCCACCTTCTTCTTCACTTGGCTGACCACTTTCAAGCTCCTCTTCTTCACTTTCAATCACGGCCCACTTTACCCACCAAAATCCCTCATTCAATTCATCGTCGTCGCTTCCTTTCCTGTCAAAATTAAACCCAAATTTTTCAACCCTAAAAAGAAATCGAGTGTATATCTGTGGACTGAATCGATGATTTTCCCCTTACTGATCAATTTTGCGTATAATTACAAACACGCATTGAATCCTCACGTTTTGTTAATCGTTTATCGTTTTATAATGTTTATTCTGATTGATCTTTTGGTTTTCGTTTCGAACGCCGTCGTCAGAGCCGTACCTGTCGACCTCCTTACAAGACTTCTGGGGTCATCGATGGAACCTCATGGTAACAAATAGCCTGCGACATACAATATACAAACCCTTGAAATCTGTTCTTCCAGCGAAGGATTGGACGACTGCGACGGCGGTCATGGCGACTTTTATCGTCTCCGGTTTGATGTACGAATTACTGTTTTACTATGTGATACCTGTGAGTCCCACGTGGGAGATGGTGTCGTTTTTGTGCTCCATGGGATCTGTCTCATCGTGGAGCTAAAGGGGAAGAGAGTAATGGCCGGAAAATTTGAATTGCCGATGGTGGTTGCAAGGTTGTTGACGGTGGGGTTAAAATGGTAATTTGTTATCATTCAGAGAACAATTACCAAACAATCTTGGTTCATTCTGACCCTGTTAACCATTCTGACCATTTAACTATTCTGCACTAAATCATTCAGCAACTGCCAAACAGCCCCTAAGTGTTGGAGCTAACTTACATATTTGGTCCCTGTATTCACAAATCTGGTTTAGAAACTCATTTTTATACTTTGACCTCTGCGTAAGTTGAAAAATTGCTATTTACGAAGGTAGGGACGTTTTAAAAATATTTTGAAAAAAATAGCTAAGATATAAATTTAATCTAAAAATGACTATTTTTAATTATTTCCCCTATTATTATTAATGGGTATCTTGATTTAATCAAGGAAATTGTTGTTTTTCTAATTTAAAATAGAAATTTAATTTATAATCTGAACTAAATTTTATAAATTGTGACTTGCTCTAAGTCTATTTTTAACTAACATTACTATTAATTTTTTCAAATTTTCATATTGTCTTTTTCTATTAATCTTCTTAAGTTCATATGAAAAAACCTAAATCCTGTTATTTTTTTTAAATAATTATAATTATATCAGATTATTAGACCCTGGTTATTACATTGTTGGTATTGAATTTTTTTATGAAATCAACAAAAAAAGGAGGAAAATTCCTAAGAATACTGGAATTCAATTAGAAACATATGCATATTGTTCAATAAGTCAATTCGGTGTGGAAAAATGTATTTTATTTACCAAATTAACATGTTTGACTTTTTTAACAGGTCAAACTGCAATTTTACATGCCTTTAATTTATCTTATAATCCCCTCAACAAAATTTGTGATATTGCCACCATATTGAAATGAGATCTTAGGGGCCGTTTACCAAACACTTACCCGGTAAGTGCTTATCGGTAAAATTGAACATTATTATTTACTTACCGAGTAAGATTTTAGTCTATCAAAACGACATTGTATGCAATAATTTATCCGTTAAGCGCTTATCGTGGTAAAAGTCGTCCACTCACTTACCAGGTAAGACTCATGATCCTTGTCTCGCTCTTACACGCAAGATTCTTGATCCTTACCATATATTTATCAGGTGAAGTAACATGATTTGATAAATATCTACCCAGATAAGTATTTAGTAAACGGTCATTACTTTGAGCTATTGCAACTTTACATCTTAATCATAAACATGCTAAATGAGAAAAATGTGTTTTATTTTATCTCGAATTATATTTTGGAAAAATATTATTATTGTTTTATTTCGTCACCCCAACTTGGAAGCAAGTTGCAAGAACATGGGCATGGGCGGTGACACCAATACGACGACGTCGAATAGAATCAGCATGTTATTGGCTGATGCGGTCTAGGGCTGGCATTTGGTAAATAAAAGCCGCCCCTTCGCTCTCCTTACAGATTCTCGGAACAGAGAAGAAATCGGAGAGGTCGGTCTGAGTCGACTCAACTCATTCTCAATTGTCTCCTCCGATCTTTTCTCTGATACTTGGCCATGGCGTTTTCCGACAACTCTCGTCAATCTCTCATCCCTAATTACCTCTACACTTCCTCCGTTTCGCCCAGCAGCCTACTCAGGGGCAACGCTTCAAACCCTAACACCCTCTTGCCTTCGACCTCACCTGCCAAGCAGCAGCACAGTAACTTCATGATTCCTGCTCCTAGCGAGCCTTTTGGCAAGATCGAGATGTACTCCCCTCGATTCTACGCTGCTTGTACTGCTGGTGGTATTCTCAGTTGTGGTCTCACTCATATGACCGTCACTCCTCTTGATCTTGTCAAGTGTAATATGCAGGTAGTTTTTTACCTCCGTTTTTTCTTCGATCTGCCTGATTTTATGTTGTTCTTGCTAGGTTTTTTTCATTTCTTACGCTTGAATGTGTTTATGATGTTTTTTCTTTGGATTTTTAACAATTTGACTGTTCGATTATGTGGATCTGTTGTGCCATGGTCGGTGATAGTGTGGCAGACGCGTCCATGACTAGATCTGTGTTATTTTAATCTATATACATAGTTTGCATCCAATTGCGACTCTGACTTACCGTGATTGGTGATTTGTTTTAGTTTTGACCTGGTCTTCAATATTCACCTTTTGATTCACAATTGTAAGATGTCGATCCGTGCAACCATAGATCCTTTTGGTGATATTATTCTTCCAAACTTTGTTTGTCATTCCGTTGGTACACTTGGCCTTTTTCTGTATGAAGAGGTTCTAACAGTTTGGGTTGGGTTGGGTTGGGTTGGTTTGATATAATAAAACTCCGACCCTAATTTTATGAACCACATGAATATTATTTTTACGTCCATCATTTTCTTCAATTATTGTTTCGTTGTGTGTGATTTGTCAATTCTAACCACCAGAAACGTACTAGATTAAAGTTTAATCAGGTAGAGCTTAGAACTAATTGGGAGTTTGAGTAGTTTCGAGTTACTAAATATTTTAAATATCATACATCTACAAAGGTGCATAGTTTACATAAAATTCTTATTTGCATTAATATTTGTAATTTGGGGAAATAGATGTTCAACAACTGTTTTATCAAATTTGATCTGCAATCCTGCCTGAAAATAGTTGTACACGAGTTTCATAACTTGCATATTGGGTACTTAATGCTGAAAAACTGTGCAGTGAAGGTAGCATCTTCTTTTAATCATGATTTTACTGTCTACATTGTCAAATACCAGATCAATGTGTATTTATTAAAATGACTTGACACTTCATGAGATTAAATGAACATGAGTTGAGGTGATGTGAATTCTCAACTTTAGTCTTCTTTTTTTAGTTGAACTTGAGGTTCATGAGCATTCCATCGAGCAAGAGTTGTTGGTCAGCTCATATATATGCATCCTGGGCATTGGCAATCCTTTTACCTATGTGTATATGCCACACCCATAAAGGGTTCACAACTTGCCCCGTTTTGAAATCTTATCTGCTAAATATCTTATGTGATGCCAATCTAAGCAAAGAGCACCACTCAGTAAAAAAACAAGCTAAAGAACAAATATGCAGGATTTTGTTCGCATTATGGGAAACCGTACATTTACACGGTGTTTCAAAGAAACATATGTTCACTCAAAATTTTAAGTAGTTGTGGAGATCATGCTAACGTTTTACTTTCGTTAAACAACCCAGTCTCAAAGTATAATAAGTAAATAAGATCTACATGTTTGTTGAACATAATTTTTTTGCATGTATTGGTGTAATTGATTCGGTTTCAAGTGTTAGCCTTTGGGACATCATCAAATTCTATTACTTGCATGTTCATGCTGTCACATGACATTTTCTGTGTTATCATAACATACGCCTTTACAGTTCTTTTCAAACCATGTTAATAAGCTCATGCTTTTGTTTATTACTTAGATCGACCCTGTTAAGTATAAGAGCATCTCGTCTGGTTTCGGGGTATTGCTGAAGGAGCAGGGTGTAAGGGGATTCTTTAGGGGATGGGTCCCTACCCTGCTTGGTTACAGTGCTCAGGGTGCCTGCAAGTTTGGGTTCTATGAATTCTTCAAGAAATATTACTCTGACATTGCTGGCCCAGAGTATGCAGCAAAGTACAAGACTTTGATCTACCTCGCTGGTTCAGCATCCGCAGAGGTAATTGCTGACGTTGCTCTTTGTCCCATGGAGGCAGTGAAGGTCCGTGTCCAGACACAACCTGGTTTTGCCAGGGGTTTGGGAGATGGACTTCCAAAGTTTGTTAAATCCGATGGTGTACTTGGGTACGTATAATATTTATTTCTTTTGTTATCCTTAAAGCTATGTCAGAATTGGGTATATTTGAATTACCTCATTGGGTTTTGCCATATTTATGTAGGTTGTACAAGGGAATCGTACCGCTCTGGGGACGCCAGATACCATGTAAGTTCAGGCATTTGAAATGCTAGATTTTTTTAATACTTATGCTTTATTGTAACATTTTTACCTCCCTTTGTTTGTCCTAAAGAATAACAAATAAAGAAGCAGAAGGTTTTTATTATCAAAATAAATAATAAATACCTATATTATTAGCTCCGAAGCAGGAAAACTTCTTTGTTTTTGTGTGCTTTGCTTCTAGCGTCCACTGCCAGAATTAGGCTTCTTGTGATTCCCATTTATGCCATTTGTCATAGTCAGTTTTTATCTTCCCTTGGGTCACTTGTATTTTTTTTTTTTGTAATAGTGTATTAGACTGAAGGGCTCTTATTTAAAAAATTAGAAAATGCCATTCATCAAAGAAATTCTCTCCCTTGCTGTGGAGATGACTGAGTTAATTTAAATAAATGCCCTTCTCTATGCAAAAGTCAAAGTGATCTGCTCAATAAAATTGAAAAGTAAGCGAGGTGAAAACTCTCATAGTGAGAAGAGATGGTCATTATTTGTTAAGTAAAATGGTCGTGGGGGGATTATAAGTTGGTCAAAGTATGATTCGAGGAAAACATTAGGAAATTTTAAAGGGTTTGATAATAGATGCAGTTTTATTTGGATCTTAATTTGGAAGCTACGCAAGGCATGATAGTAGCAGCTGGTGGTGTAAAACACGAAGTCTATGAATGCTAACATTGGGTTGGCACTTCGGGGCCATGGTTTATTTTGGAATTAGCTATTTAAGTCCTGTTTCATGTAAGATTCAGACATGCCTTTTTTCTAATATGAGTTATGACAGTGTTTGCATGTTTTCAAAAACAGTTTAGTAAGGCTGATGCATTGATTTGCATTAATATGGTATGTGTTTGTGCTATTTTATGTGCTGTTTGTAAAATGGCTTTATTTCATCATCAAATGCTCCATCCAGCTTGCCATTACAATTCTACAACCATTATCACTATTGGGATACCACAACCCTCACACTCTTGGTTATGAAGTCAGGACTAGATTTCTTCTACAAAATTTTACATTATGCAGATGGAACTAAAATGGCACTCAGCCTATACATGTGTATCTTGATTGCTCACTGTTTAATATGTACAGATACAATGATGAAGTTTGCCTCATTTGAGACTATCGTGGAGATGATGTACAAGTATGCCATCCCTACGCCAAAGAACGAGTGCAGCAAATCACTTCAACTTGGAGTTAGTTTTGCTGGTGGATACGTGGCGGGTGTTTTATGCGCTATTGTATCTCATCCTGCTGACAATCTTGTCTCTTTCCTTAACAATGCCAAGGGAGCAAGTGTTGGAGATGTGAGTGCTTCTGCTTGACCATTGTGCTAATCTTAATCGGACCGTTTATCGTCTCAAGACTGCTTGAATTTATTTGGTTCGACTTGTTTTTCTTCTTATTCTCAGGCTGTGAAGAAACTTGGACTTTGGGGTCTGTTCACCCGAGGGCTTCCCCTACGTATTGTGATGATTGGAACTTTGACTGGTGCTCAATGGGGAATTTATGATGCTTTTAAAGTGTTTGTTGGATTGTAAGTCAATCCCTTCATCTGTTGAGGCCCATTTTTCCTTGTTTGTGAAGCTAAAAGTTTAACTTGACTTTATTCTGATTGATGTACAGGCCGACAACAGGGGGTGCTGCACCTGCTATCGAACCTGCAAAATAGGAATCAGAATGATGTTTGTTTGGGGAGTATCAGATGCTTTTTTCTTCAAAGGAATCAATAAATATAGGATATTTCTACTTCCAACCAAGTTTTGGAGAGCATCTCTTTTTTCTTTTTTTCTTTCAAGACATTAGAAAGAGGTGTGAGTTTTAACTTGTATTATTTTGCTGACGAGTTTTTTTGGTATTGGAGAGGATCGTGGTGTCCTCGTTCGTCAATCGACTATTTTTTTGGTGTCATGCATCGACAGAGGATGCTTTGCCCTTTGGAAAATAATTGGGACAGACGCATGATGATATGCTTATACTTTTGGCCCTTCCCCCTTGTGAATGCAGGTTTCTTCGTTTATTCTTCTTTGTTATTGGAAGCGTTAGCAAATGAAAATTGCATTATTGAAGTGGTAGGTCTTGCTTTATGAAAAATGCATTATTGGTTGGTGGCCCTTGGGTGGGGGTGAATGGTAGAGACTGCTACTCTTTTGGGTAGTGGTCAACTAGGGATTTTAGAGACTTGTCTGTAGCAACTTATACCATTAGTCGAGGTGTTTGGGATGTATATATATATCCATGCCCACCTTATCCTCTATCTTAGCAAAGCTGTTTGGGAGATTAAATGCCTCAAACTTGAGCCCACCAGCCGCATTCCATTTCTGATTCATGATTAACTTATTTTCCCGCACATTGTTCAACTTCATCAGCTCTAACGGCTCGAACCACCTGACTGATAAACAAGAAAAGCAAAATCTTGATTCAGGTGAAAACATGTTCCCGTTTTTAAAGGTTCAGCTGTAGTGTAGCATGCATACATAGTCTTGATTCACCAAATCCTGGTACAGCAGCATATAGTCATCCTTTTGCAGTCCATGCTTCTTGTTGAAATCCCCTAAAAAAATCAACAATTTACTATTATATCGACTCACTATAACAAAATTAGCTTTAGAGGATGCCAAATATGTTTAAATGTTCTAATAAACTGCATTAGAGAACTAAGCAATCAAGGTGTTACAAGAAAAACAACTAGAACAGTCTCCCAATTGTGTGCGTGTGTGTATATATAAAGGCTTAATCCTTTGAGATCTCAAAACTTGTGAGATTCGTGAGAACTTCTACTTTTAAGGTTTTGTTTCACATAGTTTTTTTTCCATCTAAGTATGGTATTGAATGTATTTATTAACATATGTTTGTTTCAGTTGTATTTGGTTTACAATGTGAAAATTTTTTACGTGTATTTTTTGTTCACAAACATGCTAAAATGGTTCACATTGTGAACCGAGTACATGTGAAACAAATATATGTTAATAACCGTATTAAATTCTAGCATAAATGAAAAAATATCATATGAAATAGCACATAATGCAACGGTTCTTAGAGATCTCACAATTTAGGGAGTTCTCAAAAGAAGACCCCTTATATATATGTATGTATATATAGAGAAAGAGAGACAGAGAGAGGGAGGTTTAAGGGAAAACCCAAAAAAATTAGAAAAACCGAGGAACACCTGGTAACTATTCATCTGGATGGTATGCATATTTGCATACAAGTAATCGAAGTTGTATCTTGGTTTTTATCTTACCGAACAAACTGTTTACAAATTACCTCCATGTTGTTCAGATGAACGGTAACCATAACATTTCTCATTTTTTTTTTAATCTTTTTGCGGTTTTTCCTTAAACATGAACCTGACTCTATGTATAAACTTCTCCGCTCTCTATAAGGGGCTAGTTCTTTTAGAGAGAGATTCAAAGGGGTTCGACATATCCTTGACATTAACAAAGAAAACTCGTAAAACATCAAAGAGAATGAAACAAGCGTATAAGAATCGTAGTTAATGCGTAATAAGAATCGTAGTGTCCTGAAATATGGGGCTCTTGATCTTGTGGCAGAACATGTAAAAAAGATTAATTTATTATTATTTATTTGTTTTATATGTATATTAAATTGTTGATATAATTTATATTGTTATTTCAAATAATTCATATTATCTTAATTCTTTGTCATTTAAAATATTTATTACACATTTTTATTTCATTCAACGTTTATGTGGACGTAACGTTAAAATGATAATTTTTATTATTCAGGACAAAAATCAAACAACAATTTATCTTAATTCATCAAAACAGATTAATACTTTTAATAACTAGAAGGGTACTCGCACAATACAACGAGATACATCTTGATTTTAATATTTTATTTTATTTTGTATCCCAGTCGATGTTATAATATGGTCTTATGTGATTTTGAAAAAAACAATGATGTTTTTATTTTTGAATAAAGTATGAATTTGAAGATATCATAAAAATTTGACCAAAATATATCGATACTAATATCAAATTAACTATTTAAAATTCCTAATTTTTTATGTAATTTTTAATTTAATTTTTTTATTATAATTTAATCTAGATTTAATAATGAAGTAATTTATWTTTGGTTTAATAATATAATTTTCTTATAAACATAATAATTAATTATTTTGTTAGAACTCGATGATTATCCTAATTATATTTTAGATTTTTTATATTTTAAAATGAGATGTTTATCCTCTATTTGATTATATTTATCCGCAGTTAGTTACACAAATTCAAATTGGAGCTTTAATAAGTTGTACTTACGCATAATTACTTGTAATCTTGAATTTTAAGTAATATGAATCAAAATACGTAATTATCTTGAATAGATTAACCATTTCTTTATTTTCCGATCGCCTGAGAAATACGGTACTTCATGTATAAAAAATAGTTTTTAAGAATTTTTTTGTCAAATATTTTATAATATAATATAGATAACTTAACAGATAAAAAATCAAACAAACGTATTTTTGTTAAGAATTGTAAATTAAAATAATTTTTTATTAAGAATTGTATATTAAAAATGAATTCGTGGGCCGAACCCAGGAAATGGTAAATAGAAACGGTATTTGTGATTGTGAGGTGGGGTGGATGCCGGATATGGTAAACCGATCCGGATGATTGCGAAACCCGTATCCAAACAAGAGGAGTCATCATTTGTTACTGAAAAGCCCTAAATAAATACAGGAGAGGAGGAGGGGTTGGGGGTTTGGAAGGAAGCCATGGCAGAGCTCAATAGCAATGAAGAACCTCATGTATTGCCTTCCAAGAGAAAGCAAGCTGCTCAAGACGCAGACGCTGATTCCACAAAGAAACACCGCCTAGAAAAGTGTGCCGATAACGAGACCTTGCCTGAGGTCGAACAGAAAATTATCGACGAAAATGGCGACAAAGTAGAAGAGGAGGAGGAAGAAGAAGAAGAGGAGGATTATGAGGGAGAAGAAGGTGTCGATTCGGACGATGACGAAGAAGAAGAAGATGATGATGATGAAGACGAAGTTGAACATTCAAATGGCGGAGGTGAAATTGATCGGAAGGGGAAAGGGATAATGAAGGATGACAAGGGTAAAGGAAAGCTGATTGAAGAGTCTGAAGAAGACGATTCCGATGATGACGGCGCCAGTGAATCTGACGGTGATGATGATCTTTCCGATGATCCGTTGGCGGAGGTGGATTTGGATAACATTCTTCCTTCGAGGACACGGCGTCGTACGGTTCCTCCTGGAGTGCGCATTTCTAGTGATAAACTCACCAACGATAAGGACAACGACGCTTAAAATTTCATGGAGGTTAGCTTAGCTCCTGCTTCAAGAATTCACCTTTCTATTAGTTTCTCTCCCCAATTTTTTACTTAGAACCCTATTTTGTCGAGATTAAGGCTTTAGAAACAATGTTGCTTCAGCGAACCCATTTCTGTGCTGTAAGGAATTTTAAGACCATTTATGGATTTGAATATGCTGTGCTATCTAATTGAGCTTCCATTTATAAGTTTTTGTTTACATAATATGTATCGCACATGCCCCATGATTTCACCATGGTTTCTGGAATCGTTTAAGCCACTCTTACAATTGCATTACTAGTTATGGCTGATTATGGACAACAGATAAAAAATCCCCAAAAGTGCAATTGAAAAGCCTGCATAAGTAGTCTTGTTTTCCTCTTAGATCATCTTCAGCTATCTTCTTCTAGTTCCTTCCATTGAAATCAAGAACGCAGTTTTAACTACTCGGATTGTGTCGGATTGGTTAAGTTTCAGGGATGTAATGGACATCTCATCTCACGTTCCCCGGGTTCGAATCCTGCAGTAGCCCTTCTGGGCATGGAGGTTCAACTGCTATGACTATGGCCATTCGTTGTCTCCGGGGATTAGTTGATGCGCTTAAGTTTGAGTGTTGGACTGGAAATCCACAGTTACCCCCGAAAAAAAATATCAACTTGTTGATCAGAATGACTTCACCATCATGACTTTCAACCTCACCTCCTTAATTTCTCTAGGAATGTTCATTTTCATGGTAAAGTCTTTTGATTTAGCTTTGCCTTGCCCCATATGCTCAAAGGGCTATTGGACTGTGAACTATCATCATCACTATTATTCACTTGTGCATAAAAGATCCAGACTCTGCAATTATACATTTAGGCTTTATATTCATTCAAATCATCCCTAGTTTTCGAATCAGAAATGCCTTTCTCTGCACAATTCTCTGGAATGATCATCGCGATCGTTCTTAGATGCTATTGGTATTGTAATGTGAAATAGATCTTTGTCTGCACGAGTCTTGAATGAGTGACGATGTGGATGACTGCTGAAATTTCAGGTGGAAGAAAACTGTGGTTGCTGGTGGAATTTTTGTTAGTTGCATTGGAGTTGTAAGGATTCTCTCCATGGAGGAACATGACATTGGTTACAAAGCTGAGAAAATGTATGGTTGAATCCTTTGGTATGTTTCAGTTTTTAGTTATTGAAGTAACAAATGATGTGGGTTGTTGCCATATGGATCATGTTTGGGAATTCTAATGACATGAAATTAGAGGGGAGTTATTGCACACGTTAACGCTAAGCTGGCTGATGGTTTATAAGTAAGCAGTTTAGCCGGAAAACTGGTTGTTGGCTGATTAAGAGAGCGATTTGCTGATAAACTAGTCATGTTTGGTAAAAACTAGCTGAAGAATTATATGACATGCTAAAAAATTGTTCATTTCAATATATGGGGTATTATTGGATAAAAAAACCAAAAAAAACCCTTGTAGCTTATTGAAAAACCGTTTGTCCTTAATGGACCCTTTTAATAAGTTAAAAAATAAGCTAACCTATTATTGTTGTGTTAACAACTAGGTTACAAAATAGGCGCGGTGTGATGATGATGTCAAGTTTTACAAATAATGACAAGGACGTGGTGTTTTTAAGGCGATAAATTTGTATGTCATATATAGAATTATATATAAACATAGGTTTAGATTCCGGTAAAAATGAAAGTTAAAGTAAGAAGCATAAGGAGAAACTTTAGGATGAGATGCACCGGATTAGTCCCCGAATCAATTGCGATTCATTGGTGAGTTTGAAATTAAATGATCCATGTCCCTTCTTACACTTCTCACCATTAACACTCATTCTCATAACATCTTTCACCTATATAACATGTCCTCTATATATTATTCAATCATATAATGACCTTAAAAACTTTACATTCATATTAGAAGAAGAAACATCATATAGATTATTATTATAAAAATAGTCTTTGATTACATATCTAAAATAGAACTTAGAAATGTAATTTTACAACTTTTCTTTAATCGTGAATTCATAACGTGTATAAATTCGTAAAACTGTGAGTGATGCGACCTATAAATGTGTAAAATATAAAGTTAGAAGTAAAAACACACAAGTAATTTAAAAAAAAAACTCACGTCGTGTAAAAAACGCACGTCAAGACGTTATGGCATAAGCCATGCTTTAAAGAAACGCTTTATCGTAATATCAGATATGCGTCTTACACTATATTATGCCAAGAACAGTCCATTTTGATCAACAATGTATGTGGGTTTTTGTGGTCCTTGATGCTCAATTACACTACACATGAGACATTATATGGCGAATGGCAATCGGGGCTTTTATGGGCCTAACAAACAAGGTGATTGTTGGATCATAATTATGGGTCGTTGTTAATACTAATTTCGAAACAACCCAGGGTTTAGGGTTGACACATGTTCACTTCACAGAGTCATAGACATACCCAATATAGAACATACAGTGGCTCGTGCCACCGTATTGTTCATTAGTCATAGTGTAAATTTTTTTTAGGATCATGTTAATTTGTGATGCCACCATATATATTTTGAAACTAAAATGAGAATACAAGTTTTTCTTGATATAATTGGTTTGCAAGGTTTTTCTTCTACTCCAGACCGAGTTCGAATCCTGTTAGTCTCATCTTCTTAGTTTTTAACTTTTCAGATCTATTATGTTTCTAAAAAAAATTGCAATAAAAGACATAAACTGAGGACCTGATATATGAAAAGCAATGACAAACCAATGATAATTTGTGAAAAATTTCAGTATCCGTCCCACAATCACAGCACCTTCGGTTACCATCCTCTTCATTAAATTGAAATGAACCCAACCCAAAGGCTATTTAGATTAAAATAATCAATTTTGATCCATAAAATATAACAAAATTTGATAAGTAATTTAGAATGTATTTCAATAAATAAAAAATTATGCAAAAATGGGTACCAAATGCTTGTGAATTAAGATCATATTTAATTTTCAAACTTAACGAAATGCAATTGGTGTTACATTTAATCATCGCATTTATTTCCTAATCCTATCTATAATCAAAATAACCACAACATACACATCAACATCCATATGAAAATGAAAACTCCCTTCACATTCTCTACAAAAACAACCAACTTTTATGATACATATATATATATATATATATGTATATATATATATATGTATATATACTCAACTCTCTTCTTCAACCTCAAATACATACTCATGTTATTGTCAGCAGCCGATATCAAAGTACTTTGGATCTTCAGGGAAATGGTATTCCACGTTTAACTGTCATCCGCCACCAGTAAATCTCTGTTAGTTCCAATCAATTTCAAAATCTCTATCCTATTCGGTTAAAGGCAAAGAAAGAATAAGCTAAAACACAAAATACTAATCAAGAAGCAGATCGATCAATGACAGTTGTTATTCATGCCTAACGTTATGTTTATTAGTAGTAGGGTTATTCAGCTCAATGACCTTCTCCATAAGCTCATTTTGCAAAATGACCCTCATTTGTATCTCTAAGTTTTACGGGAGCAGACTGTTTTGAATCAGGGGCATGCTGTTTTAAACCGGGGGAAGACTGTTTTAAACCAGGTTAAGTCAGATGACAGTCAGTGAACTAAATTTAGTTAGAAGATGAAGCTCTTAATTGAAAACTCATTTGTAGGTCATTTATCTAAGCATGCAAGGCTCCAATACTTCAAGGTTAACAAGAGTTGAATTTTACAGTGCAGAAGGCAAAAATCATCTAGGAAAACAAGGTTGTTGCCAAACATGAAACCATTCCCACGAGATGCAATCGATCATTGTGATGTCGTAGAGATGCGGCAAAGCAAATACGACAGTAGATGCTGAATAGAATATAGAAGAATATTCATCCAGAACAGATTAGCATGATACATGTTGGATGAGCAATGTCAATAATTAACAATAAAAAACTATATATCAAACATGCAATCATATATAGACATCATGAACATACCTTCCCTTCATCAGCATCTGAATGGCGCTGTGGGAACACCACTCTCAAATCGCTGCATAAGAAAAACTTCCGCTCCCCATCATTATCTAAGCTATTTTGTTGAGGTGTAGACAAAGGATCAGATTTGAACTTCTGAACGGGTCTTGAGCATTTCCTATGAGGGCATAGAAAACGAAGATGAAGAGCATAGCGTAGAGCACCAACAGTGGCAGTGTTTCTATTCACCCTCGAACATACGCTATTATCTTTATCGTCAGTTCCATGATGGGAAGCATCCTCCCAGCTAGAAACCAGGTCTCCATCGACCTGGCAAGCATAACCGTTGCACCCACCACGTCCGTTTCCAGTTATTTTTTGACCAGAGAAGCAACTTTCTGAACTTTGCAGCTCTTCTGTCCCCTGTCTGGAAGTTGGAACGGATGAGGCAAGGGTGACCTTATGCCGTAGGAAAGTCTACAAATGACAAAATAAATTTCATATTCAATTCTCTTCTGATCAGTGGAAGTACAGTAATTGAGGACATTAATGATGCTGAAGACCCAGAAACTGATAACTACCTTGTTCATGGTTAATTTGATTGCAAGACAGATACGAAGTCTTGGAAAGGTAATATTGCGTTTGCTAACTACTCATGAATTACAAATTCACAATGCAACTTGAATTGAAGCCATGGACAGAACATGCAAAAAAAGGACTTGAAAACTACACTATTTTAGCTTCTTAAAAGAACCATGCTCTTTGTAGCTTTAGAACTTCCAAGTATAATATCTCCTTAAGAGGGCTGGTTGTTTAACGAATACCATAAGAAAGCAGTAATGCCATTTTACCATGTTTACAATCTTAAATATCACCCGGTCCTGATATTAACTTGCCTTTGTGCCTGCCGGCATGTCGCTCAAATCATAATTACAGAAGAAAGTATGAAGAGGTGTCTTCTCTGGATTGCTTAGAACCTGTGAGAACCAAATAACATCCAAAAATTTACATAAGACCTTAAGGTGTTGAAAATCAAACTGCATTCACAAAAAGAAATCTATACCATCACACTTCGCAATCAACATTTCCCCAAACTTATAATTCAGTATACTGGTTGCTATATGATATATAATTCACTTGCATATCAATACCCATGAATGAACCACAGAGGGCAACAAGCAGTTTGATCAAATGTAATAGTATACTAATTAATATAATCACATATGTATGTCAATTCCAACAGGTGATTCACTCAGCCCAACTTTTTCCTCACCTTGTTATGGAAATGATTCATAAGAATGAACAAACTGAAACTACTTGTCAAATGGGGTCCAATAAACCACCCATTGGTGCGTACCAAGGGGATGCAGAAACAAAAAAGCACAATGAGACCCCATATGCAACTTTGTTTATCATGGCAGCATAAGAAGGCCATAGAAGATATTAGCAAAAGAATGCAAATAACTTGTAAAAACCCTTGGAACAACTCAAAATAATCATCTGAGTCTTGTTGCAAATATCCCTAATTACTTCAAATTTAAAGAACATCTCATATACCAGTTGTATCCGCCCTTTCATTGGAATACGCAAACGGCTCTTAGCACTTTGAGAATCATCATTGTGAAGGCCGCTTTTCCGATTTTTCCTTCTGGCCTTGCTTGATGAGGAGTTCCCTGCAAGATCTATTGACGCATGGTACAGCAAGTAACTATCTCCATCAACACTGGTAACTGCAAAGGGAAGCTTCTGTACTTTTGGTGAAAAGTTCCCCCCATTCACACTTAGTACAGCCAAAAAACCATCAATTTTCTGCAAACAAAAATAGAAAGTATGTATTAGAGATAAACCCTAGCTGCATGCAACAAACTGCATAAACACAAGTTCCCGGACCAACAACACAGAATCCTAACCTTGCTAATGTCTCCTGATGAAAGCCGTCCAGATAACAGTGATTCTTCAAAAGAACCAACCAGTGACCTCCTAACAGGGAAACCCCTTGCTTTTCCCCTTAACATCTGAATATGGGGGATGGATCCCAAATTTTTGTGGAAGGGCCAGCTCTTTCCTGTATAACTTTTAGAAGAACAGGACCCAATCTCATCACATAAATAACCAATTTCTTCAAGTGACTTACTTGGCATCCTATAATCCACTTCACTAGATGCAAATATGGTACCCAAGATCATTTCTGTATCTGAATTCTCCACATTCTTGAATGATGAATGCTTTCCTTCTACCTCCTTGTTCAAATTTCTGAAAGCTCCTTCAGCTGCCACTCCCTCAGAAAATCTTGGACCTAGGGGAGACGAAGAACGAGTCAACAAGGCTACCTTGTCTGCAGATATTGGTATAGGCCTCGTCTGCATTCTTGTCTTACTTGATTCTTTAACATCCTTAAACCCAGGTGAAAAGAATGGTGCTACAACTTCATTTTCCTTCAGAACTGGCCCATCTGTGGAAAGAACAGTGGGCGTACAATTGTAGTTATGCAAGACATTCTGCTCAGAATGATCAGATTCAGGCCACATAAAGTTAGAGGAATAATTACTGATTCCCATATTTGCTTTCTTATAATTCTTCACCTTGTGATCATCAGTTTTGGCATGACCATATACTTGGAAATTGTTGCAGCCAATATCTATATGATCACCATCAAATGGTTGGGAAGAAAGCATATTGTTTAACGGTGACAACATTCTCTTCCTGGCCATAGACACACTAATTTCTTTTTCATTCATGTTGGCGTTACCCGCAGATGCAAAAACCTGTGTGGCTGAAGCTCCATCAAATGCATCTGAAGATAAATCCTTTTTCCCAGATTCAAATCCCACAATTCTGGAAAATGATGTCCTAAAACTATGTACAGATTTAGGTGTTGAAATATCAAACTTATTCATTGAACCAGTCCTTAACCCATGAACATCCACCTTGATATCAGTGGACTCTTTAACTACAGCACCTGGAAATTTAAATTCGCCCAAGGGGGTTTTACCCCTACAATCACCAAATGAAGATTCAAAGCAATGTCCAATGCTTACTCTCGGATTTTGTGCTTCCAACTCACTCAAATCACAAGTGCCCTCATCATTTAGAGGCAAACCATCCTCCAAGGTGCTTGATGTCCCAGCAATCTCAGAAGTTCCAATGTAGGGATCTTGTGGCAATCCCATAATTAAGAAATTGTTCTCCAAACGCCGCCCAAAGCAATGTCACCACTTTATATCTTGTTCTTCTATCAAACTACTGAACACATGGTTCTTAAGTAACTATCCTATGAGTATTAGTGGTTCAATCAAAACATTAAACTAAAAGCAAAACCTAGGTAATTTATCAACTAATCCCTTTCTCTTTTCTGCTGAACCCATGATGGTTGTGCAGCAGCGAGCTAGCATTACCAAGCACCAGACACAGATTGATATGTCAAATGATGGATATCAAGACCTTCACGTACTATATCGATATGCACCCACACTTAAGGTGTGCAGCCGAATTAATGTCCATGCCTGAAATGAAGCAAATCATCTGTAAGTTTATCCAGCGTACAAAATTCAAATCATGTAGACAATACCATGAAATCAAAATCTGCAGATCATGTGGGGATCGTATTAGAGTGATAATGCAGAAGAAACCAGAAACGTTAAACACAAGAAAGACATTCTAGAAGGAAAAGGGCGATGTATGTGAACACATTAGCAGCAATATAAAGCGATCCCACGAACACAGAGACGATTACAACTAAAACATCGGAACAGACGTCTTTTACAGCAGAGAAACGAATAGATTAAACCGGAAGGCAATAATTAATTAGATCGGAGTCCAGTTTGAAGCAAAGAGTAGTGAAATTAATGATCGAGAAACGGCTAATTATATAAACAAGGAAGGATCTGGATGACTTGGTGATATAAAGTATTGGAACCGATGATGTATACGGAATGACGGGTGGCCGGCGATGACTCAACTACGTTGGGAATAATTAGGTGGTAGCTTAATCAATCATCTTATCGGTGATCAACAGGTGCAATGCAATGACGTAGGCAAAATAAAAATCAAAAATGTGAAATGCAAAATTTTATTGTGATCGTTTGTATACTACTTGTTTCTTCATCGGAATCCCAAGGGCTCTTTGTCTTTCAATATTCATTTGTATATATACAATATCTTCCTCCACCTCCACCACCACCACCACCACCACCGGCTCCTCCTAATTTGGGGTTTTGGAGGAGCAGCACCACCACGGAAACGAACCAACACCCACAAAAGAAAAAGGGGAAAAACAGAAGTTGCAGAATAGGGTGGGTGCGATGGTATTTATTTGAGGAAGAAAGGGGTGTACTTGTTATTTTATTGAACTTGGAGGGTTAATTGCAAATAAATAAAAGTATTCAAATATATAATTTGTTAGAATTATGGAAAAAGACAGGGATGAGACTCGAGCACCGTTTTTCGAATCGAACTGGGGCCGGATCAAAACCGGACCAAACCGGTACCAAAATCATGTTATTGGTTCGGTCATCGGTTCCAAGAATACAACGAAATCGGAAATCGGTTATTTGGTTTCGGTACCAACACTTTTCCTGATCAAAAAATCGGCCCTAATCACCATCAATCAAAAAATTGGCACACATCCCCTTTGATCATACGGTTTCGAGCACCTCAAAAAATCAGCTCCGATTCCTTTAATTGTTGAACTTTTGCGATTGGTTTTGATTGGTTCTTTACCCACTTTCAATTTTCGGTCCTAAGTGGTCCTGGTCTTGAATTTCTTGAACCGAACCAGTACCAAATTTGTACATACGGTTCGGTTTTTGGTCCTCGTTTTCAGTCCCATTAAATTTCGGTACCGATCTCATCCCTAGAAGAAGACGAATATCTTGTAAGAACGGATCTGAACCCTTTATCATTTTTAATCTCACCCTCGTCTCATAAAATGTGTTTATCATAGGATTGGTCCAATGCATCTCGATACATATCATTATTGTTAATCTTCAATTATGATTGATCCAATAGTAAAGATCTTTTCTTATCATTCTCACCGAAACTCAATCCTAAAAACAGATACATCAAAATTATCTGTTTAATTTCCACAAGTTTATATTTGCATGACATTTTTTACAATTCCAAGTCTGGTAGGCATCAATGGAAATGGACCCTGAAGGGGGTGTGGCTGGCCATACCATAAGTATTATAAGTTAGGTTTGAACACTTGTACATAAAGGTATCACAACCAGTAAATTTAGGGTCCGTTTGGTTTACATGATTGTTTTTGAAGGATTTGAATTTCATAGCAGGATTTAAAATTGTTGTTGTGTTTGGTTTGTAGGATTTGAAATGAAATTGAATTTTATTATTTATAAATAATTCATTAAAAAATTTATAAAAATAATTAAATTACATTTTTATTAATCGATTATTACAAAACAAATGTTTTTAACATTTTTAAAACCTTCTTGCATACAATCTTACGAAATATCGTAAAATCCCAAACACCCCTTTAAGGATTTCAAAATCCTATGTTTGTAGGATTTCAATTAAATCATAAGATTTCAAATACATAAATCCAATAAACCAAACATGAGATTGGAATGAACTTAAAATCCAAATCCCCTTAAATCCATTACATTCCTGCAAACCAAACGGACCTTAAAAATTTCTTAAAAAGTTGTCTACAAGTTTGATAAAATTGAAAAGAGAAACTTAAAAAATACCTTGGATTAAGTAAAAAGAAACCGAGAGCTACATCATTTAATCAGCTAATAATGTGACATCCACATCATTAAATGTTAAAGGATTATTAAATTACCAATTAAAATATGTTCAAAATAGGAAAATATAAAAGTTGGTTAAGAAAAAAACAGTGTTCCATTAAATAGAAACTATATCAAAGTACGTTACATTTTAATGCATTTTATCCGTTAGAATATTCATTTATATCTTAATCGTATAAAGTTCAGTTTCTAATTCTATTTAGTATGGTGAAGAAACCTTCAATTTTTTTAGTTTCTAGATATATTTTTAACCGATAATATATCGGTAACATCTAATGATGTGGATTTAAATTACAATTATGATATTAAACTGATCATATATGTTGACAAGTTGTTAATTTTATTATTTTTTTTAACAAATTAAAGATTTTTAATTAAACTGTTTACATTCATTAATATTACGAACCATACGAATACCACTAATAAGTCAAAAAAGTTCATCTAAAATCAATAAAGGTGTAATATGATACAACTCGATTATGGAGCAGAAAACTCAATTCGTTAAGAGCATATCTACTATCAAATGGAGTAGGCATGGAAATGGTCCCCGACTGTTCGAGAACCTGGTTCATTCGTACTGGTCGGTGATGGAGATTCCTTGCTAAACCTGGGAAGGGGACGGGAACGGAGATCCTCGTTTGTCTCAAACCGAGAATGGGGACAAGGACGACGATCCGTATTTTTGTTAAATTAAAGTTTCTTAATCTATACTATTTTATTAAGCAAATTTAGTAAAAGTCTTAAAGTCTTAAAATTCTAAATGACCAAAATACCCTTTATACTCACTTTTTCACTTTTTCACCTCCTCCTCTCCTTACATACACTCACCCTCTCACATATACTCACCCTTTCACAACCAATTTTTTAAAAATTATAATTTTAAATTTACACTTTATACCCCTATAATTAATTAATTAATTTACTTTACTTTACGTTCTTTACTTTTAAATGTTTCATTTTAAAC